TTTGAGAGGATCATATGGAGACTTAAGAGAGTGATGTTCCCTTGAAGAAGGTAAAATATTGAATCTGGTGAACAATGTAATTACAGTGTACTGTTATAATAAATCTAGTGGATTTCTTCTTTTCAAGATCTTTTTAAGAAGTTGTTTGTTGTTTCAACCAATAAAAAAAGAGAGCCTCTGAGACTATCTCCATTAGAGATATTTAATGGAGGTCTTTATATTTTAAGAAAATGAAAAATAAAAAGAAAATAGGAAAAAGAAGGTGATAGTTTTAAGACATCTATTTGCTATGATATGTTAATTTTTTCGTGGTTCACATTTTCAAATAATACAGTTATATTAAAATATTAATTTTATTTAAGTTAAAACTTTATTTTAATACATTTACTGATGTGGATGTTCTAAGTATTTATGGTTTAAATTGATTAAAAATTAAAATTTTATAATATCGTACATTTTTCATATATGTCTATCTGTATAAAATAAAATAAAAAATTTAGTTGGTGTACACCTTTATTATACTTTTCCCCCAAATTATCATGACAAAATTGTTAAAAAGAAGATTCGGGATCATGACAAATATTCTTAAAACATTCAATTATTTTCCTTTTATACAACTTTTGAATATTCGATTGGCTTTTTTCTCCGTCGTATTCTATTCGCATTTTAAGTTCCACCTTCCAAAAATATTTGACCTTTGTCGTCGTTTATATATTTTCTTAAAGAATTATTTTGTTTTATTTTATTTTTGATAAATACGTGGCTCTTCGAGCAAGCGATGACATTGATATTAACGTGTGTAACGTGTGTTATGTCTGAAATCACAAAAAAAAGAAAAAAAAAGCCTCGCGTCTCATTCTTTTTTAAATCTATTTATAGAGAGTCTTGTAGTACCACAGTATCATCATTCAACACACATTTTCTACACACAAAGAGAGAGAAAGATGCCGATTAGCCGGAGAGTTCTGACTCCAGTCGCCGCCACTCCGGTTATCTTAGCCGTAATTTGCTTTTTCTTCTGGGAATCAATCATCCGGTCGGACAACTTAAAGGACACAAAACATGTCCTTCAAGATGTGAAGACCATTCCTCTTCCCGCCGATGGACCAGAGAGCTTAGAGTTTGATCTGAAAGGTGAAGGCCCTTATGTTGGCGTCACCGACGGTCGTATTCTCAAATGGCAAGGTGAAGAACTCGGCTGGGTCGATTTTGCATATACTTCTCCTCACAGGTTCGACCGTAATCTAAAACCACCAAACTGCACTTCCTCTGTTTTTATTTATTTATTTTTTTAATAATAATAATCGAATTTATATGATTTAGTATAATGTTGGTTCTCATTTAATTGTGTTTACTTTTTGTTTTGGTGAATGAAGAGATAACTGTTCGAGGCATGAGGTAGTACCAAGTTGTGGGAGACCATTGGGACTTAGCTTCGATAGGAAAACAGGAGATTTGTATATATGCGATGGTTACTTTGGGGTCATGAAGGTCGGACCAGAGGGAGGCTTGGCAGAGTTAGTTCTTGATGAAGTTGATGGTCGTAAAATTATGTTTGCCAACCAAGGGGATATAGACGAAGAGGAAGATGTTTATTATTTCAATGATAGCAGCGATACATACCACTTCGGGTAAGTTTTATTACACTCGCCAGCTTTTTCAACACATCAATAGTTATTTATTTGTTGGTTACAAGAAAACATATATATTACATAAAAAAATAACCGGACATAAAATAATTTGAGACTTTTAAGGCGAAGGACAACTTGTAAATGAGTTATGGAAGTTGTAAATGTGGTATAATTGTTTTTTTGGTTGTATAGGGAAGTATTCTACGTGTCTATGTCCGGGAGGAAGGTGGGAAGAGTAATTAAATACGATATGAAGAGTAAAGAGGCCAAAGTCATAGCGGAAAATCTTCATTTACCAAATGGTCTAGCTCTAAGCAAAAACGGATCGTTCGTAGTCACATGCGAGAGCAGTTTGAACAGTTGCCGTAGGATATGGGTCAAAGGTCCCAAATCCGGGACCAACGAGATTTTCGCGAGTCTCCCGGGTGCCCCAGACAACATCCGGCGTACGCCAACGGGAGACTTTTGGGTCGCATTGCATAGCAAAAACAGTTTGTTCACTCGTATTTCTCAGCTCCACCCTTGGATCGGGAGGTTTTTCATGAAGGCGATGAAGATGGAGACTGCGATTCATCTCACGAACGGAGGAAAACCTCATGGAATTGTCGTGAAACTCTCCGGAGAGACAGGAGAGATTCTTGAGATACTTGAAGATAGTGAAGGGAAGGCGGTGAAGTATGCTAGTGAGGCTTATGAGACTAAAGATGGAAAGTTATGGATCGGGTCGGTGTATTGGCCGGCCGTTTGGGTTCTTGATACATCTGTTTATGATTCCAAATGATTTAAGTAAAAAACAAATTATCACTTAGTTGTGTGATTTGTTTATCAGCGGGAACTTATCTTTTTTTTTTTCGTTTTCTTTTTTTTTACCATCTTGTTGTTTGAGTCAATTCTTTTCTTTCGAGAGAACTTGGACTCTGCAAAATTTTGTTTCACTTGATCTTTGGTCTCTTCTTCTTGTCTTTCTTTTTTATTATAACCTTAATTTTATTGATCTATATATATATATATATATATTATCTGCTTTCATGGCCTCTATATATTTCTATCTAATATATATGCAAATATATTATGGATTAATAGGATATTTAGTACATTTTGAGAAGTTAATTGGGGAAGTGATACATTTACTATTCAAAATTGGCAAAATAGTATATTTGTGAGATAGAGAATTTGTGAGATAGAAAAAGAAGGAAAAAAAAATGACAAGGGAGGGCAGTTTTTGTTGTTTTCCGATTTTCGTTCTTTTTGTTTTTTTTTTTTGTTTTTTTTTTATTTTATTCTTTTAAATATTCTTACCCCAACATTCTAATAACTAAAAATTCTTGGTTTTGTAATTTTTTTTCAAACTTTTTTTTTGATTCACAAAAATTTATGTTTTTTTCTCTATAATTTGATATGCATTTTGCTTAGTATAATTTAAATACATTTCATATGTATATATATTTTTTGTACATTAAAGCATATGTACAGACGTATTTGTACAATTTAGTATATGTACAGACGTTTGTGTACACTTGATTAGATGTACAGAGTACCCCGTACAGCTTACTATATGTACGCATGTATAAAAAATTACACATTTTTATCTGTACAACTAATATGATATATGAATTTATGCATATTTATGTACATATTCGTACACTAATATGTTGTACGGATGTTATTGTGTAATATTTTTATTATTGTACAAATATATGTTTTTACACTTCTGTACATAAAATATGATGTACGAGTTATATTATATAATCATTATATAATTATTCTAATGGCATACTTGTAAATAATATGTTTTTTGAGTGATTAAAGGTCAACAAAATAGTAGCAAATAGTGATAATGTACTAGTTTACTAATTGTAAATAGTGATTGTACTAGTTATATAATTAAGTTTCAAAAATGTACTATTTCTCCAACACATCCATATATTATTAGTGATAGTAAAAAATAATTCCACCGCATGTACGTGTAGTATAGAGTGTACGTGTACTTTTATACTCGTATTGGAAAGATCTTTCCTTTAATTTAGTTTGATTCTTGTCGTCAAAAGATTCCCGAATGATATGAACGTGGAGATCCACCAGCCTTTTCTCAACTCGATTCCTTTTTTCAAAATATTATGATAATAAATTATACTACAAAAAATAATAACTTATAGTGTGATATTTTATAGAATTCTGACTAATAATACGTGTGGAGATCGAGATATTTTATTTTATTTTTATATTGAAAGAATGCCAGATGGTGGGGATCACATGCTTTCTTACCTGAAAAGTGATAAAACCTGTTATTACAAATTAAAAACTAATAATTAAGAGCAAATTATGAAAAGTACTAATAAAGTTAAGTGGGACTGGTGGATCATGGATCTAGACTTCTAGTGGTGCCAAATAAAGAAATTTAAAATGCCTAGTTAACTTAAATGAAAACAACAATAATAGAGTAAATAGGACAATTAAAATTTTGTTAATACAAGACAAAGACTAAAATAAACTAGACTACAGTACGTTATTTAATACACGTTCATATGATTCTGTTTTTTTCTAGAAAAAAATAAATTCTGAATGTTTTGGAATAAACAAATAATGGTGTTTTAATTATTAAATTTTGAAGTACTATGAATTTTGTTTATTTTAAGCCTTTTTTTTTTAATCTCCGTTCTATTTATTCCGATAAAACAATTCCAATATGTCCTTACCAAAAAAAAATAAAAAAATTCCATTATGTTCCAACCCTTCACTCTACTACATTCACTGAATATTAAATTAAAGCTATACATGATTTAATATTAGATTTAAAGCTACACTTCCACCTTTTATCATGATGTCGGTATTGATTTAAAACCTTTGCAATTTCTCGTGGTCGCAAATAAAAAATCACTAGAAATAGCAACTTGTAATTAGATTTACATTCTATTTGGTTATGGGACCAAATAAACAAATAACAACAACGCGTATTTTTCACTTTTCTCTTAAAGAAAAATACAAGATTACATAAATCGTTGTTTCAAAAAAAAAGATTACATAAATCGTTATGGTTAAAGTTTTAAAATAATAAAGAAACATTAAATAATACAACGGACTAAAACATATATTGAAAACGTAAGTAAAAAAAGAGACGGGATTATATAAATCGTTATGGTTACAACTTTAAAATAGTAATACAACGGACTAAAACACATACAGAAAACGTAAATATGCTAATGTTAAATTTGGATTTTGGTTATCCTGAAAATAAATCTACTCGAGGATTTTATATTATAAAGGCCACCAGTTTTTTTTTTTTGTTTTTTTTTTTGGTAAATGTTAATTTTATACCAATATTCTGAATTTTTTTTTTTTTTTTTTTTTTTTTTCTTTTGTCATCTATACCAATATTCTGAATATTTTTGGGTACATGTTGATGTTGATACAACTTGTTCAAACAAAAAGGACAACTAAAAGGGAAGACATATACAACCAAAATAAAAAGCAAGCGTGATAAGCCGGTCTCGAAGCGAGCAATCCAATTGCTGCTTGCACAACTGAACTGGAAGAATGGATGGATGAGAAGATCGTAGCATTACGCTCCCGCCATATCAAGTAACATGAGGCCTCTATGAGCAACTTGAGAATGATGGTAGCCTTAAAGAGGGAAGAGACCCGGGACTGCAAAATCCAAGAGGAGATGGAGGCGAGTGTGGGTGGAGGATGAGCCCATACTCTTAGCAGCAAAAGCTTGCCAAATAGCCTCTGAGAAAGAACATCCAAACAAGTGGTGATCATGAGTTTCTATATCGTCAGAGCAGAATAACCCATGATTGCTCTGAAGCTGAAGGAGCAATTCTAATAATCTAAAGACTAAAACCTTACCTAACCTTTGAGAAAGACAAAGCAAATCTGTCTACATCTAGACAATCTTTTTCCATATATAAGCCGTGCGTTTAATGGACTCTTATTATTACTCTTAGGTTAATGATTAACGGTGAGAATGATTATTTCTTATAAAATGTTGCTTAAAGATGTGAACGAGGGAGGGACCTTCACCAGCCTTTTCACATCTGCGGATTCTTTCTTTTGCATGTTTTCTATATTTTTATATTTTTTCAAAATCAAAATATGACAACTAATATGCATTATAGTCTATATAATTCTTACTAGATCAAGATACATTTATAACCAATATGTATAGTCTATTTTCTATATTTTTAAATATGGTTTTGTTTATTAGCATAATCATTTTTTTTTTTTAATGTGAATATGGCTTCGTTAATTAGCATACGCCATACATCTTCATATCATATGGCAGACAATCACACGCTTTTTTTTAAAAAAACAAATCACGTTTAAAGCTACGTTATAGGTGCGATCGATTTGGTTATTATTACAATAATTAAGAGATTTATTAAAGTAGTAAAAGCTAAAAATTAAATAAAAATCGTTATTCAAAGTAGGAGTACAGTATATAACATTCTCAAAGTTAAATAATAATTTTTATTTTTAAAATGTTAAATAATAAAAGGAAATTGAAAGACCTAATAATTGACTCAAATGATGTTTTGATGTTATCGGCCAATAGGATAACGAATTTTACACTATGTATGTCTGTTCTATATTATGCTGCTGTAGTAATAACCTGAGTACAAAACTAGTGACGCGTTCTCATTCTAAGCCAAAACTTAGACAGGACCTTCTTCTCTGCCCGTGGACTGATTAAGAGATACATTATTGTGTGTTCTGATAATTAATCACATGAATTCTCTAATCCCATCACGTTAATACTATGTTCGAGTAATATAGTGGAATCACAAAATTTCTTTACGGAAAAAGTATAAACTTAGATAGTAGATGGCCAATGTATATCAACATAACTTCCAAAGTAATTCCAGTATTAGAACAGTAGAGAAGAAGACGAAACAACTTTAAGTGCAGGCTAGTAATAACTTCATATAATATTCCAATTTGTTGCTAATGCCTCGCAGATTCTTGAGATACAGTACGCTGCGCTCAAGGGGTAGGCTGAAACTGCAGAAATCAAGGCATATTTTTTTCAGATTATTTTGTTTCATCCTTTTTCTCTTTCTTTTGAAAAGCTCTTTTTTTCCATAAACAAAAGGACAGAATGAAGGAAGAAGACTTACTCGACACAAAATCATCAATGTAGTCACACTCTATTTTCCCGTGTGCCATTGCACCGAGCTAAAATGGAACGGTAAAAAGCAAATAAGGAATGTGTTTGCATACGATGGCTATATGGAAGCTGAAAGCTAAATCCTATCACTAAGCAAATGAATTGGACACTTTGAAAGAGTGAGAAACATTTGGAGGTCACTTACCACAAAAACTGTGTCTGTATCATTACAGACAGTACTTAAGTGTTTCTGCATAGTCACGAGCTTCTCAGAGCTATGCGAGAAGCCTGATATAAGAACGGGACATTCCTTACTTTTAGCTTATACAATGTCGATAAATTACAAAATGTAGGATGGAACTAAAGGGCTATCTTTTTACCTATTTTTAGGGAGTTAACTGGTAGATGATCTTCGACAGGGTTCTTGATACACCGTAAAAGTTTCTCACGGTTGCCAACTGCAGTAATGCTCAGCTTCTGTAGCAATTGCACTGCAAGACCAACAAATTGGATAAGAAACAAGAGAAACTGACAAGGTTAAAGAGTAACAAAAATTGGCCAAAGACAAGAGGAAATCCAGACAACTCACACATGATTCCGGCAAATCGTCTGAAAGTTCTTGGTATACGAACATGTGGCTTAACTTCAAAAAGGACACCTTTTTCTGTTCTAACATATACTGCTTTCAACCTCCCAGCCTTATTAACCGGACTATCCAAAATCATTAGAAGAGCCTGAAGAGGGAGATACACAAAAGATGAGTCACAATTTGATATAAGCTACCTAGATATAACTAAAAAGATTAAAGAGCCTGACCTGATGAGTGATATCTGGTCGGTAATCAGCCGGATTTCTGTTATTTTTTCTCAAAAAATGAGCATGATCATCCGAGTTTAGCAGTTGGTAAGTCTGCACACAAGAATCACATATATAAGTACCATTAACAAAAAAAAAACTCATGGCTTAGTGTAATGCAAACATTCCAGCAAATTACCTTTCCAACTTTGGCAACTTCAAGAGAGGCCTTCTCAAGCACAAAAACAACGCCAGGCTTTTCCGTTCTAGTGCTACGATCACCTAGGACAATAGGTATCCCTCCCACAATATCCTCTGCTGATGCTGCTGCTTCTTCTTCTTCTTCCTCAGTTATTTCCTTCTCTTCATTATCTTCCTCTGCTACTGAAGTGTTTTCTTTCTTCGATTTCTTCGAACTCTTCCCTGCCTTTTGCTTTTTCTCAAACTTGGGTTGTTCCTCTTCCTCATCTTCTTCCTTATCATACCTCTCTGGTCTCTCCTTTCTCTTGTTCACTTTAATCCCATACGGCCTCACCATCTTCCTTCAAACTTACTGCACAGATATTTAAGTCAATCACAACCCCGCTGAGCTACAAAAGCAGATGCTAAAGTACTAATCTTTTTACATCAAACAGGAATATACGACGGCGAAGATGAATTCATACATAAAGTAATCAAATTTCTTCAGGGCTATCGCTTAGGAACTACAGAGAATCAATGCAAACAAACACAGTTCCGTAGAGCTTAAATTCTAAGTTAAACCGAACCCGATGGTGAGAAACAGCTAAATTAAGAGAAAAAATCAATCGCTTACCGAAACTCTTGAGCTTCTTGCAAAGAAATTGAAGTGAGCAGGCGACTCGACAGAACCTTTGATAAACCCTAATTTGTGTTTTGTCCTATTGTTTTTGTTTTTTTAAGTTTCACATACATTATATAGTTGTATACGGCCCATTGTATTTAATTTAGGCCTATTAGGGTTTAAGAGGCCCAAAAAAGAAAAAGAGACCAGAAACCTATATATTGTGTATGACCGTCGTCTGACTTTTGTTCTGCCGCAGCACGACCGCCTTATGTAATAAACAAACAACCGCTGGTTCTGTTCTTTCCTTGAATTTTTTTTTTGGGTTTTCTCTGAAACTCGCCGTCAAGGGAAACAAGCGAAGCAGTGGGGATTGAGGTTTTACCTTTTTAAAACCTAGTTTGAAGATGACGTCTTATGGAGACAAACTGAAGTCGACCTCCGCTAATGGATATAAGCTATACCACGTTTGTTCTGCACCCAATGTTCCGACTTGGCTTAATCCTAAGAAGCTACGAGCTCTCCGCAAAAACCCCCGTAAGTTTCACCAATTGTTTCTGTCTGAGAGCTTATCTAGTGCTCTGAATCGTTAAACCCCTCCGTAAACCCTATTTCTTAAAGTTTCCTCCTTTCTTTTCTTTTTTTTCCTTCTTCTCTGTAGAGTATCTCAATTGCAGCTTAATGATTTATTTGAAAATGTTTCAAATTCGATGTTCATAGTTTGATGCCTTTTTTGTTGATGAAATGTTTACATGATCTTGTTTTGTGGCTATCTCCTCTTAAGATTTTATGCAAAGAGTGGAGCTGATTCAGGAGTTGAAGTTTACGACTGCCACTACTAGAATTAAAGTGACTCCAGACGGAGAGTATCTGATTGCTTCTGGTGTGCTTTTCTTTCCTTGTGAATTTGTAACTTGGGTGCTATTGTACAGAAAGAAAAGAAATATGTATTCTCTGTGTGACTTTTTCACTGATTTATTGTTGAATCAGGGATATATCCACCGCAGGTCAAAGTTTATGAGCTAGGTCAGCTTGCTTTGAAGTTTGAGAGGCATTTAGACTCGGAGATAGTTGATTTCGAGGTAACTTCTTTAACTGCTCCATGAGTTGTGGCTTTAATCTTTCTTGTTTCTGGTTCAAATATGTCTAACGTTGTCTCTCACAGATATTGGATGATGACTTCTCGAAGCTTGCCTTCTTATGTGCTGATCGTTCTATTTATCTTCATGCCAAGTACGGGAAACACCACAGTTTACGGATTCCAAGGTAGTTCTAGCTTTGTTCTGTATCTGAAATATATATTTGGTGATTTTGTTTTTGTTGAGACATTGGTCTAAATTACACATATATCTGCAGGATGGGGAGAGATATGACATATGATTCATGGTCTTGTGATCTGCTTTGCGCTGCTTCCTCACCTGATCTATACAGAATCAATTTGGAGCAGGTACTTTTCAATTATTTATTGTAGTTTTTTTTTGTCTTGTGACTTACACTAGTCTTCGTTGGAGAATGATTCGTGGGTTTTGCCATCTTTATATTTAGGGAAGATTTCTTTCTCCTCTCAGCACTCAATCCCCAGCGCTTAACGTTGTTTCTCGAAGGTCTGTATACTGAAATGTCATTTCTTTTATTATGTTTCTTGATTTGATCTAAGAGAAGATTCTGTTGTCATGCTCTATATTATTGTTGTTTATGTTTGAGCTCTATCATTTTCCAGCTCCGTCCATGGATTAGTCGCTTGTGGTGGTGAGGATGGTGCTGTCGAATTTTTCGATATGAGAATTAAATCATCTGCTGCTAGAATTAACGCGGTTACACATGGTGGTGATGCTGCAGCGGTGATTCTTCCTAACTTATGTTCCATACAAACAGACTTTCTTAGCTTAGACGTGATTGGCGAAATTGCATCGTTCTTCTAATAATAGTGCTTTTAATTGACTAATAGGAGGTTACTGCTATAGAGTTTGATGACAGTGAAGGTCTTCAAGTGGCTGTCGGAAGTAGTGCGGGAAAGGTTGATTTTATGTTCATTGTTTTATCTACAAAATTTATACAATGGTAGGTCGAATTGACTACATAGCTACGTTGTGCTGATTGTGTTATTCTATATCTGCAGGTATTCCTATACGACTTGCGTACTTCAGCTCCCATTAGAGTGAAGGATCACATGTAAGTATTACTTTGTTTGTAATAACTCAAAATTTATCGTATATGCTATAAATTTGAGGTTTGTTTTTTAGGTGTTAATTTTTTTCTGCAAAATTCGCAGGTACGAGAGTCCAATTTTAAGTATTAAGTGGCAACGGACTCTGAATACTCAACAACCTAAGTTGATAACCACTGACAAGCACATTGTTAGAATATGGGATCCAAACACGGTGAGCATCAGATAAGAAGTGTTTTACCCCAGGGGCTCTCTTGCAATAAAAATCAATGTGGTCAGATGAAGCTTTTGATTTACCATATTCTGTTTTTTTTTCCTTCTCGAATCTGTGTTTTTCCAGGGAGAAGGTATGACCAGCATTGAACCGACTCAAGGAGGAATAAACGACATTTGTGTGTTCCGTGGAAGCGGGCTTATGCTTTTGGCTTTAGACTCTAGCCTAATCCCATCTTACTTCATACCTGAACTCGGTCCTGCCCCCAAATGGTGTTCTCCTCTTGAAAATCTGACGGTATTGAATTAATTTGAAAAATCTCCCTATCCTTTCATGGTTTTACCATACTAGTGATGTCACCATTGCTACAAACACGTTTCATTTTTGAATATTTGTTATCAGGAAGAGCTGGAGGAAAGTGGACAGACAACTATTTACGAGAACTACAAATTCGTGACAAAGGAAGATCTGGAGAGATTGCAGCTAACTCATTTGATTGGAACAGATCTTTTGAAAGCACAAATGCATGGATATTTTATGAATCACCATTTGTACAAAAAGGTAAGTCCTGACATTTTCTTAACACTGATAGCATTAGGATAGTCTATAATGTTTCTTCCTTATAACTTTTTTTTTCTTTCTCTTTACAGGCGGTTGCAGTGGCTGAACCTTTTGCATATGATGCTTACTTAGAACGTAAAAAGCAAGAGAAGTTAGAAGCGGAACGTACACAGAGAATTACTGTTAGTATTTTAAAACTTACCATCAGTCGATTCACCGTTGTTTGTTTATTAACTACTTACATACATCTTTGTTTCACTTGTGCTTCCTTTAGAAGAAGAGAAGGTTACCAAAGGTTAATCGAGAACTCGCAGCAAGGCTTCTTGTGGATGATGCAGAGGAGGAAATGAAAACTGCCGAGGATGAGGAGGCCACCAAGAAAGTGTCAAAGAAGAAGAAACCTATACTTGGTAGCGAAATTCTCGGAGACAGTCGGTTTACAGCGATGTTTGAAAATCCGGTATGAGCATAATTCTTTTCAACGTATTTTGTTTTTCTTACTGTTGCACTACTTCACACCGTATCTAACCCGAACCTCTCCTTTTGGTTTTCAGGACTTACAAATTGATCCGGAATCATATGAGTATGGTGTCCTACATCCTGTTGCCTCTTCTAAGAAGCAACCTTCTCTGTTAGAAGAACACTTTGAAGCTGTATCAGATGATGACGAGAACAGTGATGCATCACAATCTTCTGATGATGAAGCCGACAATGGAGACGCAACTAGGTCAAGCAAGAAAGCAAAAACTCCGAAGTTAGTGCCTTTTGACTGCATTCCAGGATAGACATTTGATACACACTATCTTGATTCTGTAATTTTCTGATGTGAATGATTTTGTGTCAGGCTGTATGAAGTGAAAGATGAGCGGCACGCAGAAGCATTTTACAATCGCACTTCACTGGCTAAAGAAGACCGTCTTCCTATGGGTGAGCGTGTCAAGGCTATAGAGAACCGGCGCGGCAACTTTGGAGGCTCTAAAGATATCAAATTCGGTCCTGGAGGATCCCGGGAGATTTCTTTCAAGGCGAGAAGCTACTCGAAATACAAAGAAGATAGAGAGGATAGAGACGATGAGGGTGAAGATGGTCAAAGAAACAAGAGGAGAGGAGTTCAGTCTCTTGGACTGAAATCAGATAATATTAGAGGCGGTTTCAGAGGTAGAGGAGGTGGCGGTTTCAGAGGGAGAGGAGGTGGCGGTTCTCGGGGAAGAGGGAGAGGTGGCGGTGGTTCTCGGGGAAGAGGTGGCCGTGGTGGCCGGGGAAGAGGCGGGCGATGATAAATGTAACCTTTCAGGCGATTTTTAATACTAGTTTTGGAAAATGTATTACCTACTTTTGAGAATCTTTACAACTTGATTGATTCACATACAATTTTGAAATATTTTTTTGACCTAGTCCCAAAATGCATTAGTCTTCAACCATAAGAACAGAATTTGCTTGCTTGTGAAAAATTTAGGTAATGATTGGATAGAGATGACCTTAAGTTGACCCGAGTTCGATAGTGCCTTTACATGATAGATCACCGTCCATTGTTAATTGAATTATATTAACGACGTTTAACATTTTATATGTAATATAGTAGTTGATCAATGAAGATGCTTCTTTTTGTTTGGAGGTCAACAAATAAATAAATTGCTTATGTATATGCTTACAACATGAGAATTTGCTTATGTATATGCTTACAACATCCAAAGTGTTTGGGACGAAGAGGACGCCTGAAGCTGATTCCCACGCGTCTCCCACAAGTTCTTCCTGCTGAGTCATCTTACAATATGTGAACTTTAATCTGAGTGTCTTTTTAATACATATATTTATGCTTCTTTAATTCTTAATGTTATGTTTACTGGTGACTTAGACCTAGTTCGCCCGTGGTACGTAGGCTTTGGCATGTGTCGACCTACGCCCTCAGATGCAAATATTTCTTTTAATAGTACAACTTTAGAAAATTTTACTTTGCAATTTATGCTCCAGAGATTGATTGATTTATTTAATTGAATTATCCGCATTATATATACGCCAGACAATAATATTCTACCTAAGTTCAGAAATCAGAACAATCCAAACCAAAACACAGCTTCCAAGCTCCAAGAGAAAACAGAATCAAATAAAACTTGTCCTTATATAGCAAAAATGTGTGCATTAGTACCTCCATTGTTCCCAAACTTCGGGTGGCCATCCACGGGAGAGTACAACAGCTACTACCTCTCCGGTGATAACCTCAACGACGGCGGCTTTCTTGATTTCCCTGTACCGGAGGAGACTTATGGAGCGGTTACGGCGGTGGCTCATAATCAGAACAGCTTTGGGGGTTCAGTATCGTCGGAGGGAAATGAGTTAGGAAACAGTCCGGTCGTGATCAAGAAGCTTAATCACAATGCCAGTGAGCGTGATCGTCGCAAGAAGATTAACTCTTTGTTCTCATCTCTCCGTTCATGTCTTCCAGCCTCCGACCAATCGGTAAGAAGCTACTCTGATTTGTCTTATGTGAATCATTTCCATCTCAAAACCGATTTAAAATACTTTGATTAGTTCCATCTATACAACTTAAAAGAAGAATATGTACCGATTTAACCCTTTTTCTTTACTTTCTTGCAGAAGAAGCTAAGCATTCCTGCCACGGTTTCTCGAAGCTTGAAGTACATACCGGAGCTGCAAGAGCAAGTGAAGAAGCTAATTAAAAAGAAGGAAGAGCTCTTGGTGCAAGTATCAGGTCAAAGAAACATTGAACATCACGTTAAGCCGCAACCAAAGGCGGTCGTGACTTATGCCTCGACGGTTTCTGCGACAAGACTTGGAGACAGCGAAGTGATGGTCCAAATCTCATCTTCCAAGGTTCATAACTTTTCGATATCTAATGTGTTAAGCGGGTTAGAAGCAGACGGGTTTGTTCTTGTGGATATTTCATCTTCAAGGTCACAAGGAGAAAGGCTTTTCCACACTTTGCATCTACAAGTGGAGAAGATTGAAAATCAAAAGTTGAATTGCGAAGAGTTAAGCCAGAGGATATTGTACTTGTATGAGGAATGTGGAAACTCATTAAGATGATAATTTGTTCTTGTTTCTATCTAGTTGTGACGCTTTTTCTCTTGAAAACCTAACATTCTTGACGTCAAAGCGTTGTGTAGTCGAGTTGTTTCGTTTTTTTTTATGGTCGAAGTCAATGATCGATTATGACATGCTATTAAGTACACTGATTACTATAAATTCATGTGACAGCTGTAAATTTTAATTTTTGTCTACTCTTCAAGAATACCTAGTTTAAATATATTTGTAGTTACCAGACCTTTTGACTTCTACTATTTGTTTTATGTGTACATAATTTGTTATTTATGTAAAGTTAAAGAGTTAGTTGTGTTTTGGTGTATCAATCAAATGAGAAAAGACATAAATAGAGTATTTTATTACAACTACTATATTGTGTATTATGGGCAACATTATAGTATAGAGTCCAAAATCATATTATATACGAAATTTTGGGCAAGTTAGCTAGCAAAGTTGCACTTATATAGATGGTCCTGAAATCATTAGAATACAAGGTAAAATGAGAGAAGTCATGGTTATCCATTGATTTTTAGTTTTTTTTTTGGTTTTTTTTTAGTACAAAAATTGGTTTTTTGGCTTGGTTAACAAATATATGAGGTATATATATATATATATCAAAAATAAGATATGAAGTTTACAGAATGATAACTGTAGCTTTCTGAGATGATCATATCAATAGTTTAAAACCGTGAGTCACGAAACGAATCTTGGAAACCTCACCGATTCACATTTACAATTTTGGAATACTTTTGATCCCTTCTTGAAAGTATAACTAAATCAGAACATATAATTAAGTATAGACATCAAGTTGACATTAGTATATAAAATGACTTTATCGTCGTTGTGGCCTTGTGGGTTTAAAAATATAACACATCTATTTGAGAAAAAGAAAAAAAATTATTAAATTTGAAATGCTTATGTATATGCTTACAACATGAAAGTGCTTAACATAAGAGTGTATGGGACGAGGAAATGGAGACGCCCAAACCATATATCCACCTGATAACCACGTGCCCTCGACCTTCTACTCGCCTGAGTCATCTTCCAATCTGTAAACAATAGTTTTGACTACATGTAATTATTCGTTTTTGATTCTTAATACAGTATGTCCAACTTGTGGCTAGACCTAGTTCATTCGTGGAACATTGGCTCTGGCACGTGCCAACCTATGCCCTATTGAGAGACCTTAATATTTCTCTTTATAGTATGTTACTCGAATTCAACCCATAATCATTTAGTCTCAACGATTAAAAGTACTTATTATATAGTTTGTCTGATCATTATTTAACAACAGAGACTTGTTTCTTTAGTTCTTCATCCGCATATATATTATTCAGAAGACATTATTATTTCGACCAAAACAGCTTCAAGACAAAGAAAACAGAATCAATAACTTGTCCTTGATATATATATTAAGCCAAAAATGTGTTCATTAATCCCTTCTCCATTGTTCCAAAACTTCGGCTGGCCGTCGAGGGGAAAATACGAAAGCTATTACGGTGCCGGAGAGAACATCAATAACGGTCCATTTCTTGATTTTCCGGTACCTCAGACTTATGGAGTGACTCATCATCATCAGAACAGCCTGCAGGGAGTATCCGTTTCATCAGAAGGAAATAAGATAGACAACAATCAGGTCGTGGTCAAGAAGCTAAATCACAATGCTAGTGAACGTGACCGTCGCAAGAAGATCAACTCTTTGTTCTCAACTCTCCGTTCATGTCTTCCAGCCTCAAATCATTCGGTAAGTAGCTGCTTCTACATTTCATCTAAATCTTTCTCAACTCAAATCCAATTATCAATAAATACCTAGCTAGCTTGATACGTTCAATTAGGTCCACTCATGGTCCATTATATTATTTTGAAATGTATAATTTAATACGCTTGTCTATGCATCTATAGTTCTGTTATACCATAAAAAACTATAAAAAGAAGAAAACCAAGTTAACCTTTAAGGTTTTTTTTTTCTTGCAGAAGAAGCTAAGTATCCCTGAAACGATATCTAGGAGCTTGAAGTACATACCGGAGCTGCAACAGCAAGTGAAGAACCTAATACAAAAAAAGGAAGAGCTTTTGGTACGAGTATCGGGTCAAAGAGACTTCAAACATTACGATAAGCAGCAACAAAAGGCGATCGCGAGTTATCTCTCAACGGTTTCCGCGACTAGGCTTGGAGAAAGTGAAGTGATGGTCCAAATCTCATCGTCAAAGATTCATAACTTTTCGATATCTAATGTTTTGAGTGGTTTAGAAGAAGATGGATTTGCTCTTGTGGATGTTTCATCTTCAAGATCTCACGGAGAGAGGCTCTTCTACACTTTGCATCTTCAAATGGAGAATATGGATGATTATTACAAGATTAACTGTGAAGAGTTAAGCGAAAGGATGCTGTACTTGTACGAGAAATATGAAAAGTCGCTAGATTAATGAGGTGATTAATTCATATTGTGTATTTTTAATCCATTTGTTCTTGTTTCTTTTTTAGTTGTCCTTTTCTCATAAATCTAACACTTATATTCGTATTAATGTAGTCGAGTTGTTTTGGTTTCTTGATTGAAGTTAAAATTCGCATTATAACGAATCAGAACAAAACAATATAAATAGAAGGAAAAAATATCCACTGCTACAGATGTTAACTGTTGTTACATAGTTTATTATAGAATCAGAACATTTAAATTATAAGAAAAAGTAGTAGTGTATATACCTAAGCCCTTCTTTCTTGAGGGACAGGAAACCTGAGGAGACTAGAAACAGAGGAGACATGTTTTAATTATCCTCAGTGAAGACCTTGAAGATGAAATCACGGAAGCGTCTCGAGTATAGTCTTGGATCCACGGCTGAGATCGAAGTAGGGTCGTACTGGATGCTCTTGTAAGCGTGTTCGAGTTTCTTGCTGATGTCATAGTCTTGAAGAATGTCTATAATACCAAAGATCATGACCACCTCGTAGTACTCTCCTGTCGGTTCACCAACTAGCTGGAACTCACAGTCGCTTCTCCTCATTGTTCTCTCTGCTCGAGCCGGCATGTTGCCTCCAAGTCTGATACTAGCCCATCTGCAACAGCGACTCAAATTTACTACTGGACACAAAATCAAGAAAATTGCTTTCTAAGTATTGAGTTTAATTTGTTTCTGTGCTTACCTCGTAGGATCAGACAGAAGCTGATCAACGTCTGCTCTAGAGAGACGAGGGGCTGTTTCGTCTTCAAATTCACCTGCAGTAGCGAAAGAAAACATATTTGCTTCATGGATTCTAAAGGAGACAAATGATATTTAGTTGTGTTAGAAGTGCGAACCAATGGGCGTGCGAGCACCAGAAGGAATCAGCTCTCCGGCGACTGATGCTTCTCTGAAATGAATCCCAACCAGAAGACTGTAATCCATTATTCTCTCCTGTTCCAAGAACTCACAGTCTTTGTCGACTTGCCTGAACAAAAACACAATCGGGATGATAAATAACAATGAAAATGGTCAATGGAAAGAGATTGATTGATGAATCTCTAACCTGATAAATTCTTGGAACCAAGCTTTCTGTAGTCTAAAAATGAAATTCAGATCAAGATCTTTCAAGATTGTATTTGAATTGATTTCTGATTCAGGTTTATCGGTTGTACGGCCAAGAGAAGATCCTTTCAAATCGAAGCGTCTGTGGATGGAGTACTCGGAACAAAATAGATTTCCCATTATGACAAACCGCACCTGAATTTTTTTGGCAGAAAGGAGATGAATTCAATCAAACTCCAAAGTAACAGTTTCTTTTCTATTTAGCATTGTTATCAATTCTTACCTTCTTTTGGATTGGTCCGGTCAACTTTACACAGTGGAGACCGTAGAATCTAATGACCAAAGTGTTCTCAAAAGCTCGAACATGGTTGTAATATGCTGCAAGCATCCTCAGAAGCACCTGCATTATAGAATTCCAGAATAAATTTAATAGCAGCCACACAATTTTCATCTGGTAACATTAAAAATAAAACTCACTTTAGTTTCAGACTTCTTCATTGTCTTTATCATGTAACGATCATCGTTTGTCAAGTAGAAAAAGCTTCCACTTTTACCAGGGGATGATAGCTCCCGTAGGGCATCATTTCCGCAGATCGATAACATGTAATCAGCTGGGTCTACCTTGAATAGCTTCCTCAAGCTCCTGAAGATAGAAAAATAGCATAACATAGTGTGAGTATAAGTACTGACGAGAAATATGTAGAGCTAGTGGTTAGTGCTATTGTATCTCACCTAAAAACTAATGGGCAATAGTCTTTCCATTTGAATTCACTAGATTGATGAGGAGGTGTATATTTGGTTCCTTCTGGTGGAAATCTTGTCCACACCTTCTCCTTTGGATCAAAAGCCGAATGCTTAAGATCAAGAGACACAACAGGAGCTTGTTTTCCAACCGCATGTCTGCGTCAGCAAATCCATTAAACATGAGCATGCATAAAAAGACTTCAAAGTATATAACTGAGGTGCCAAACTGGGATATGTACCTGATTCCAAGCTGCAGATTAAGCATTAGCTCATAATTACGGTGGCCTTTAGATATTGTTTCTCCTTGCTTCCTCCCTGCCCTTGGCAATCTCATAGGTGCAGGGCTCGGTCTCAGGCTCTGAATGAATCCTTCGGCCTCTAGTCTCATCATTTCAGCATCCAAGTCCCTCCTCGTGGTGGAATCAATATCAGCAGCGCCTTCACCGCTTTCACTTCCCCACATATTCATCTTCTCAAACGCTCTATCTACACCCACACTTACCCTCCCGTCAACAGACATCCTCCTCGGTTTCTCGACACGTTTGGAAGAGTTCCAAACAGATAATTTTTTCTGTGAAGGCAACACAGGAACTCTCTCTCCACTGCAGATTTTGTACTCACTCAGATTATTAAACACATCTTTAGGATCCCATTCAAGATTTCCTTCGTCTCCCGATGGATAATAAGTACCGTTCATTTCTTCCGGATCATTAGACCAGTGACCAACGTAAAAACTCCCCTCAGCCCATTTGAAAGTCCCATTTCCTCTAGGAAAACCATCATCCCAAAATCCGTCGTATCTATTCCCATCCGTCCAAATAAAAGTACCTTTGCCACAGATCATACCGTTCTTCCATTCCCCAATGTAATAGCTCCCATCTCTCCACTGATACTTTCCGTGGGATTCTTGCAAACCCCTTCTCCATTCACCATCATACACATCTCCGTTCGCAAAACGCTTGATTCCATGTCCATGTTTCAGGTTCATCACCCACTGACCTTTATAAGTATCTCCACTAGGACCTGTGTAAAGGCCAACACCATCCATGTATCCGCTTTTGAATTCGCCTTCATATGTGGCACCAGAAGGCCACCCGAACTTCCCTCTTCCCATAGTCTTTCCGTTGTACCAGTCACCTATGTACATACAACCATCTGTCCAAAGATACTTCCCATGCCCGTGAGGAAAACTATCATACCATTGCCCTGTATAATAGTCTCCATTAGGAAGTACTCTCTCTGCATGGTACAATTCACCTATGCTACTTTGGTTAGTGCTGGTGTCATCATCATTGTCTTCAGTCGTAGTAGTATCATCATCTGTCTGTGGAGCTACAGATACCGTCCCAAAGATGCTGTTTGCACGCTTCTTTGCTTGTTGGGTCTTTCTTACGGTCACCTCCCAAGCCTTCAGAACACAGCTTTGTTCCTTGCTCATTTTCTTAAACTAATAAAACTTTTTTTCTAAATACCTATATGTATACCCTAGAACATGCACTCAGAAACATATATTTTGTTTGTCTAAACAACAATCCTATAGATGTACACATACACAAGAGAAAATCATGAACTCTGTGCGGAAGAAAAACAAACTGTAAACCTAGAAGTATTCAAGCAGAAGCAGCATGAAGAAATCTGCAATGTTCTTTACTTTGTGGCATCCTGTCTCCATGTCATTGAATCATACGAAAAAAAGAATGTTTATTTTGTCTTTTAGATTGCAACATTTTCGGAGTGGATGCTGATCTGAACGATCATCAAAACCTAACAAAGAATCAGAGAGAAAAAAACTAATGGCCAAAAGAGTTGAAGGGATGAAAAAAATTCTCCGAAATTTCATCTTTTCTGTCAGTTCCTCTTAACTAATTATGTTGTTCAAAGAAGAGGAACCGTTGATCTCCTCAAACCACTGAAAGCCTTCAAATTTAGAGAAACAAGCAAGACCCAGTTTTTCTATTCTTAGCAATTCCGAGCTTTCCTCTAATAAACAAACATATTTTCTTCACAACAAAAATTGAATTTTAAATAATGCAATTATTATTCAATTTAGCTAAGGCTGGTGACGTCTCTAAATTGAGATCACTAAGAGTTATTATCAGAAACAGAGATAACTGAAGCTTTAACTCACTGAGGCATACTGTCGAACAGTTTAAGCCCATTGCTTTACCTCTAACAAAAACCCATTTAGTTTCAAAAGGAATAAGATCCATCCCCAATGTTGAAGCTTCAGACACCTTAAACGATGTAAGAGAGACAAAGGTTACAACTCAAAGCTTGAGAAAATCACAAAAGCCAAAAGTTCATACCTTTTCCTGGCGATGAAGAAGACGCAACGGTTAAAAGTGATTAGGAAAGGCTGTAGGGGAGACTCGACACTTGAAGAAGACAACAATCGGCGGAAGCTGAAGATGAAGCTTAGAAACTTCCGTCGCAGCAGATGAGCTCAAGGGGCTTTTTTGTAATCAATTCTATAATACGCACTTAGAAGACTAAAATTGTAATAATTCATTGCATAATGTTATTTATTGTGCAAGTTAAATACTTTATCCAGTAGTAAACGTATCACTAATTCTCTACTTCATGTCTATTGGAGAATCTTTAATCTCATCACGACAAAGCCAAAAACCTTTATTGTCGGAAGCTGACTCATCCGTATTATTATTACCCAACCAAAAACAATGTCTCTAGCGTCAATTCCTTACTAAATTCATCAGCCGCTTAGAGCCAATCATATATAATAACTCGATACCTTTTCTCCTCTTCAACGGTCCTCAATTCTCCCAAAATCCCAACTCAGATCATAGAAAAAATTACTTTTTTTTGTTCATTTCCTTCTGAGAATTTGGCTCTCATCGTTGGAATCGAAAAAATGGGTCGAATTGGTTTAGTGGTGTCTGATCTGGTATTGTCGTTCATGTGGATATGGGCAGGAGTTCTGGTCAATATTTTAGTCCATGGAGTTCTCGGATTTAGCCGGAGCGATGCGACCGGCGAGATGGTTCGATATTTCTTCTCCATCATCTCCATGTTCGTTTTTGCCGTCCTTCAACAAGTCACCAAAGGTGGACTTTTTAATCCTTTGACCGCTTTGGCTGCTGGTGTCTCCGGTGGCTTCAGCAGTTTCATCTTCACTGTCGTCGTTCGAATCCCCGCCGAGGTTTGTTTCATTGACCTTTTCTAGCTGAATTAAAATTGCCTCTTCGTTAGAGACAAGTCTCAGGATTTAAACACAGTGGTGATCCTCAATTCCTTATTATACTTCTGACATTCAGATTTGGGTTTGTATGTTGCTGTAAAATGTCGAATTACAGCAAATTTTGGTGATGAATCTATCTGGGTTATTCTTAGAAAATCAGATCATCTTTGTTTTCTGCGCTAGTCTTAATATAAAGACTTAATATTTTGCTGCAAAATGTCCACATTGTGTGACCAACCTCAAAGATCATATGTTTGTGAAACTCTGGTTTGTGGTTTCTATGTTTTTATTTTTCAGGTAATAGGATCAATCCTTGGGGTTAAGCATGTCATCCACGTTTTCCCTGAGATTGGAAAAGGGCCTAAACTAAACGTAGCAATTCATCACGGTGCTTTAACAGAAGGGATAGCAACATTTTTCATTGTACTGCTCTCTATGGGACTCGCAAGAAAAATCCCAGGGAGTTTCTTTATGAAGACTTGGATTGGTAGTCTTGCTAAGTTAACTCTACATATTCTTGGCTCTGATCTTACCGGCGGATGCATGAACCCTGCAACTGTATGTACCAGTAACAAAAGAGTCTTGTGATTGTGATTTCTCCAAAACAAAATCTTTGTTTGATATTTTTGCTTTTGTGTGAATCTTTGCAGGTTATGGGATGGGCTTATGCACGCGGTGAGCATATAACAAAAGAGCATTTACTTGTGTATTGGCTTGGACCTGTGAAGGCTACATTGCTCGCAGTTTGGTTCTTCAAAGTTGTGTTCAAGCCTCTGACCGAAGAACAAGAGAAACCTAAGGCTAAATCTGAATGAGGAATGAGCTCAGCTTTCTTATTTAATCCTCTCTGGATAAATTTCCTCCACACAATACACAGAGGGTTGGATTGTATCCGCTGTTATATGGGGATATCTTCTTAGATTTTGTATTGTGTTTTGTATGTAGCAAACTCAACTGTCTCAACCAGTTCAATAAAAGCTGAATTTTAGTGAATCCAATGCAGTTTGATCAAAATATATGCAGTAAAAGTATTTGGTTTATTGCAAAGAAGATGTTTCTCAGTTTCGATCATTCAATTACAAGAAATCAAGAACTAGCCGTAAACTCAAGACTTGACATTGCTTTTACTAATAGACAAGATTAGGCTCAAACTCAGCAAAATCAACAGAGCCAGACTCAACAGGAGGCATGAGATAAGCAGCCAAGATCTCAGAGGCTAAAGAAGCAACCAAAGGAATCCGCTTGAGGGTCTTGACGAAGGAAGGATCATCGGTTTGTCCTATAGCCAGCAGCTTCTCATAGCTCACAACCATTCTATCCAGCTTTCTCTTGAACTCAGGGTTCTCAACATCCAGCACTGCCGGGAATATTCTTGCCGTGGTTCGGTTTGTCTGAAACAAAGTACAAAATTTTCAGAAAAGGGGGGAGAACACAGCTTATTATTAATCTTCTTGTTACAAGTTCCATTACCTCGATGATGACATGCATATCGAACTCCTTTGTGTTTAACCCGATACCCTCGTAGAAATCAGTTCTTTGACAATCATTGAGGTACATTGTCACATAAACCTTCAAAGCCAATTCTTTTACCAGTTAGGCCAATGTGCAAACACACTTGAATTTGAGGATTAAAGAGAGTTTAGTTTAATTACCGAGAGGCAGAAGAAGCGAGACCAAAGCTTGGCTTGCCAGTCATTGAGGAACTGAGGCTGAGCTTTCATCAAAGCAGAGAAGAAATCTCCATGACGGTTCTCGTCTTGACACCAGTTCTCAAAGTACTTGAAGATTGGGTAACACTGGAACTCAGGGTTTGCCTTGAGGTGTCTGTAGATTGTGATGTATCTCCAGTACCCGATTTTCTCTGATAAGTAAGTCGCGTAGAAGATGAATTTTGGTTTGAAGAAAGTGTACTTCCTTGCTTTTGTGAGGAAACCCAAATCAAGAGCCAAGTTGAAATCAGACAAACCCTTGTTCAAGAACCTACAAAAAGGAGTTTGTGATCAAACTACACTAATTCAAGAACAAAATAATAGAGAACTTCTTGGTGTTAAGAGGTTTTACCCAGCATGTCTTGCTTCATCCCTGGACATAAGAGAGAAGATTTCAGCCACAACAGGGTTTGTTTTCTGCAATGCCATCAGATCAAAAGATTAATATCCAATAAACACAATGATCAAATGAAACAACATCAAGTCTCATAAGTGAGCGCATAGCTTCAATTATACAGGAAATCAAGAATAACTTTTGAAAGCTCACAATAATTGAAACATAAAATATAATCTAAAAATCTTACCTTTAGTCTTCTACCAAGCTCCTTGTAGAGAAGGAAACCAGAGAACTCAGCAGTACAAGACCGCTCTAGGAACTCAACAAAGATCTGTCTGAGAGGTCCCTGCAATTTGTCTGCAGCTTCTTTAAACTCCTTGTTCCTCACGAAATGTGTCTGATTGTAATCGGTCTTGAACTCTTGGAGCAGAGCCACGAACTCTGCCTCGTTAAGGTTCTTGTTGATCTCCGTGTTGAAAAGCTGTTCCATCTCCTCGAAATCAGTCGTGTAGAACCTCGGAGTAAGAAGCGACTCCTGAATCTCTTTCTTCGTCCCCTTCTTGGACTTCGAGGTGGCGGTGGCCGGAGGGGGCGGCGAGGAAGTAGCTGACATTCTGATCACGGTGGAGAAACGTCGCCCTGAGAGGTACTTGCTCGGGTTTGAGAGCTTTGGGGATGTGAATTTGGAGATGGGCTTCACTAACGCCATTTCAGCTGCCATTGATTGTGAGTTGCAGAAGCAAAGAGTGAGGTGAGAGATAGAGCAAAGCAGCTAGAGGAAGAAGATGAGGCTGTGTGGTGATTTATAACTCAGAAAATCTCATCCAATGAAAATCTGAATTCTGATGTGGGAGCCAGACACGTGTAGAAAAGTTATTGGTGTCTCTTGATTGCATTCTCTTCTTGATAATATTTATAATCACCATTTTATTTTTGTGATTTTGTAATTTTTAACTGAGCAATTTTGAAATAAAAATAAAAATACTATGTGGTTGATAAACCATTAACAAATAAATATAAAATAAGAAAAAACAATTCCGACAACAGTGTATACATTAAAATTTGTGGTCCAAATCTTTTTATAACAATAAGGAAAAATAAAAAATAAAGAGAAATAAAATATATGATGCTGGTGATATCCAGATGAACCATTCTGGTAAAATATAAATACAACTAAAAATGGGAAAAAAAAGAAAGAAAAAAATCTATAGGTCAAACTCACAAATCCTAAATGATTCTTTTTTATCTGGATGTTGTTTTCTCCCACAATTATATGAAACACAATTAAAAGAATAACAAAGCAACCATCTCCATTTCTCCAGCTTCAAAGTCCTTCTCTAGCAAGTAAGAAAAAAAGAGTCCAGAAAATGATTAGTTTTAGGGCTGAGACAATTTCTTCTAAAGCAAGCAACAAGCTTTAGTAACACGGAGGTCAAAGCTTAATTACCTCTATTTACGAAGCATTGGGGAAGTGGATTGAGGAGAGCTTGTTCCATCTTCAGATCCTGCGTTTATATTCATACCTTTATCTGTATTCCAATTGCGTTCATAACCTTCAACTTTCTCTTCATCTTCAATGGAGACTCGCTCGCGTTTTCCTGCATCTTCATCATCACTTGAAGATTTTCCTGATTCTTCTCCATTTCTCTCATCTTCGTTACTACCATTCTCATTAGTAAAGAAAGGGTCAAAAGAAGGGATGATTCCCTCATTATGATGATGGTGATGGTGGTGGTGGTGATCCTTAGCCTTCAAGTCATCTTCCTCGCAATCATCCTCGAGATCTTCATAGTTTAGATTCCGGAGAATCTCAGGCAGAGAGTAGCTTTTTCCACTCTCATCAACAATCTTTCCTCCTCCCATTTCGATATCGATCTTCTCCTTGGAGCTAACAAGGCTTTCACCTAGATTTGAAGTAGGAGTTTCAACCATCATCATATAATCTTCTTCCTTCACAAATGATCTAAACTTGTTCATTGATGGAGGAATCTTAGATAGAAATATTTCCCATATGTTCCCTAAAACTCCCTTGTTGTATGGATTCTCCTTCTTATCATAACGGTATCGGAAATTCTCATACGTAGTCTGCACAAAACAGAATCACCATTAAAACAAAACAGAGACAAGAAGAGAAGAAAACTCGAAAGATTGGAATAAAGCATGGATCTTTCTAATCACCTGGTTAGTGCAGATGAGATAGGAATGAAATATTGTGAGTCCTCCAACAAACCACACGGTAATGAAGCAGTAAACTATGAGAATGTCCGACAGAACATCTTTGGATATTGCTTTCCAGATGCCAATCTTCTCATCCATATGTCTTTGAAATATATTCAACCAAGAAAACACAAACACATATATGCACAGTGTGGTTGATGTTGATATGAACATGAAGAAGAAACGGTAATTTCGCTGTAAAAGAAAGAATCAATACAAATTCAAAACACACAGAGCCTATATGATTTCTCAGGAATTGAGAGCAACGTCATTTAGTAAACTTACCACTCCAATGCATTGGCCAACCCAAGGGCAGTGATGATCAAATCTCTGGACACAGTTGTTGCAGATTGAGCAATGAGAAGCACGAGGTGGACGGTAAAGCAAACAAGTGTCACAGAATTTCACTTTTACGGTATGTCCATTGACGGTAACATCTTTGACCCTTGGTAATCTTATATTTGGGGTTCTACCGCTAACCCATTCCATCGATGGAGTGGTTGAATCCGGTGCATCATCTGATTCTGGAGGCCTTAAACTTCTTGGCACAATCCCGGGATCTCTACTAGATGTCATTAAGAGGAAAAATATATCCTGAAGAAAACTATTGACACTTTAGTTTCAGAAAGCACTTTTTTAGACATAAAGTCATAAAATATCATCTAGAGAGTTTGAAAGCAGAAGACATACCAAAATGGTGAGTATCCAAGACACCGAGAGGATTGGAATACAAAGATTTGGGTTCTTGGTAAGAGGATCAGCCATTTTCATGTACATTTTGACAAAGAACATTACAGCGGGGCCTAAGATCAGGATGGTTGATAGATATAGAGATGATGCATCTGGACCAAAGATTAGTCTACCGCCACAAAGAAATTTCTGAAAAGGACAAATGGAAAACAAAAGTCAAAAAGCATGAACATAGTTTGCAGTTGAAATCTTCCATATGTGAACAATAAAGACTCAAACAACTAATCAGAGAATGAATAAGACTCAAGAGTTCTGAAAATGATCTAAACACAACAGCTAAAGTGAAAATAAGAAACAAAAAATGTTTTGGTTCTTTCTCGCTTTTTCAAAATCTAATTACCAAAGTGGGCAAAGTCAAGACTCAAGAAGAGTCTGAAATGCTATGACTTGGACTCAAAGGAATCCAATTGAATAAAAAAGGAAGAACGACTTCATTCACGCCCAATACTTATGTGATCAATCTTCAGCAGTCAAGAAATTGGGGAGATTATAAAAAAGTGAATGAAACAAAAGCAAAGTGAACATTTTTCAGAACTTACATTGCTTCCCCTCCAAACTTGATAAAGCCTCTTGAGTTTGGTCTCATTCCAAGCCATAACTGAGGTGGGAAAGAAAAAAACACGAAGAACTCACAACTCCAAAAGGGAAGATATTTCAGAAGAAGCCAGAATCAGAAACCCATCTGAGAATCTATACACAATGATGACCAGATCAGAGAAAAATATCAAAATCTAAGAAAAACCCAGAAACGGAAACCAAAATCTCTTTTTTCCTCCGATAAAAAGATTCACAATTTGGAAAAAAAACACAGTCGAATTAGATGATTGTAGTTCGAGAGGGAGAAGAGAGAAAAATAAAATGGAAGCTGTCCTCTCTCTCTCTCTCTCACTCGAATCCTCACACAAGAATATTATTTCGCTGCTTTGCAAATTGCGCGATCCCTTTTCGCTTTCCTTTTTCCCTTTTCTTTTTGTTTCTGGGATAATAATAAAAAATATATTTTTATTCGCTTGTCATTAGCGAATAATTTAGGACAGGAGTTAATGGGGACATGGTTATGTAATTAGGAAAAGTGATTATGCGAATTGGTATGTTTGTTTGTAAGAACTAACAAGGAATCATTTCTTGTTTATCTTTAGATTTATTAGTATTTTAATTAAACATTTGTTATTTCATGGTCGGGGTCGGCCAACTATATCTATAAATATATAGGGAATTAAATAGAATGATGCAAACAATGAGCTGGTTGTAGGCAAAGTCAAATCATCTCTCAATTAAACGTGCTTCACACATTGAGATTTATTTCCATCGTTTGTGTTTTTCTTTTCTCATTGTTTCATTTTCTTTTTTTAAAGTCAAATTAAAAGTGATTATTTGTAACTACTGTATATAGTTCTTCGTACTATGAAGTAGGTATGCTTTCAAAAGAAATTGTAAAGAGTCTACATCTAAAACTTTAAAAATTAAAGAGGAGAGCAGCCAATGTGAATATAAAAACGTTACAAACATAACATGTAAACCAAATCTACGTGGTCAAAATCCGGTTTGTTTTCGACATCAAAATTTAACACTTAACTTATTTTTTTTTTTAAATGTTGGTTTAATTAAATCCAAACAATTTTACTTAAAACTATTTATAAGAAACCTTTTAACAATAGTTTTTTTAGGTGAGATTTTGTAATTAGTTTTTAATCAGAAAAACAAACGGGAAAAACAAAATTTTATGCAAAAATAGTAGTTTGATCTATGAAGAAAAACGGAAAAATTAAGAAATCAAGAAAGTGTTATACCTGGACTTCCGTTGGGCCGTCACATCAAAGCCCATTACCGATGCCTTTCTCAAGGGACTGTTCTGTACTCTGTAGTTGTCCTGACACTGACATGGACGAAACTATCAAACCTGCACTGCACTGGTCGTTTCTTCACTAACTCTGTCTTCGCAATCCTCTTTTGTGCTTTTTTTTCCCTCGTAATCTCATGAGTTTAAACAAATTAACACGAACGGTGAAATTAGGGGAGATGCGAGTATAGTATGCGACCTGAAATCGTACTCGAATGACATAAGACAGAGGATGGAGATCAGATCAGTCGCCGTTTCCGATCAAACTTATGGGATAAAGTTGTTGCAGAGATCATCGTATTGCACTTCAATGTATGAATGGATCATCAGCTTCGTAAGATATTGGCGGAGCTTTCCTCCAAAATTAACCAGAGTTATTATGATAAAGAAAAAAGAAAAAGATGAAAGATGGTTTCTTTTGTTTTCGTTTCGAAGAAGATGAGAATGGAGAATTTTGATTTCTCAAGGAAGAAGAGATGAGTGATAGTGTTTATAAGCAAACGTTGTTCAATAGAAAAAGTAAACTTTCCATTATTTCCTTTTTCTTTCTTTTTTCCTTTTTTGCAATTATGCTGCAAAAAAAAAAAAGGGAATTTGATCACAACGGTAAGAAAAAGTTATAACAGTCGCATAGTTCTCTTAACTAAAAATTCGTATCAAGATAAATTATTTGAGGTTTCCTTATTTGAGTGACCAAAAGGTCCAAAACCAGACCATCCATGATATATAATATACCAGACTGTTGAAACAGAGCTTTCTGTAAACAGAGAAATGGGCCGTTGGTCGAAGTTGAGATCGAGAAGAGCAAAGTCGGGATCATGTGAAGCTCTTTGCAATCGACAAGATCCTGCAACTAAGTTCTGTACTGATTTTTGTAGGTTCTTCTCTTGGTTACTTATAAAAGACATATTTAACAAATTCTTGAGAAACAAAATTTATACTCATAAAAGAACCCTAATCATCCATCCATGATACAAAACTGAGCAGAATAGAGCATTCTTTAACCATCCATGTTTCTTTGTCTTCGTTGACAACCAAAAGCTTCAAGAAATAAGGAAAATAGAACATGTGTTGGAGAAAGCCTTTGTCTTCTATAATTATTTTGAGTTTTTTTTTACCATCTTATTTGTCAACCCCATAGAATTATAAACATCAACGGATCATCATCATCTTTTGACATCCCTCTTTCTCTTTGCTTTAATAAAAAGCTTGTGAGTGGTATATTGGCATTTCTTTTCTTATAAACTCTTACCGTAAGACCTAAGAAACACTATTCATTATATAAATAAACCCTAAAAAAAGATGGAGACAATGATATACAAACCAAATTTAAATTTACCCGTAACGCAAGAAACCACTATATACACCAATCCTCCTAATTCCTATTCTTAATGCGAAAAAGTTATAAATATCTTTTCGACGAGTAAAGACAGAGAGAGTTGCATTGCTTTGAATAACAGAAGTAAATTTACACCTGTTTGTCCTATCTTGATCTCACATCCACGCTCGAGTTTCTCCTTAAATTCGCTGGTTCTTGGTAAACCAATCCAATCGCTGTGACGCCTTCATCCACACCTGGCATCTTCTAGACAGTCGTGCCAACGGTTATTACCGTACTCCAGCTTTGGAATCAGGCTTGCCACTGCTCATTAGCTCAGAGGAGATGGATCCGACCTCCACATCGTATTCTTCTTCTGGCGCCCAATCTCTGAATTTGATCAAAGGTGGTGGGATCCTTGCAAAGAACAGCTCCTTGACGTTCTCTAAGATCCCCTTCCGGTAAGGGTTTTCCTTCTTGTCATAATGGTACCGAAAATTCTCGCAGGTCGTCTGCAAACATAACAAAAGAAATCAGACCATCAGTGATAGCTACTTGGACACTACCAAATCCCTTTCACTTGTTGCGAAAAGCTACCGAATCTTGCCTGGTTGGTGCAGATTAGGTAGAAGTGGAAGACACAAAGTCCACCAACAAACCAGATAGAAACAAAGCAGTAGAGACCAAGAACACCTAATATTAAGTCATCAGCGAGGACAACATAGAATTCCCCATGGACTTTAAGCATGCTGACCCACGAGAAGACAAAGACGTAGATGCAGAGGAGGGTTGAACAAGATAAGAAACAGACGAAGAATGGATAGTTACGCTGCAAAGAAGTCAATATATATCTCATATTAACTCATATATGTAACTCATTTCTTTGCCTTGGAAGTGAGAATAGAGTTTCAGTAAGACTTACCAAGGCGATGCACTGACCTACCCATGGACAGTGATGATCAAACCTTTGGACACAGTTGTTGCAGATTGAGCAGTGAAAGGCGCGAGGAGGACGGTATAGCTGACAGGTATCACAGAATTTCACTTTGACGGTAAAGCTATTCACCATTACATCTTTCGTCCGAGGTACTTTCACACTTCCTAGTTTGTTACTGACCCATTCTGTCGATTGGGTGGTAACATCAGGAATCTCTGCCTCAGGCACTTCTTTGTTCCTGGGGATAATCCCAGGGTCTCTCGATGATGTCAAGAAGAGAAATGTGAAAGCCTGCATAAATGGAACAAGTAAAAAAATGCAGGAATTTTGCTCTAGGAATGATCTGTCTTACAAAAGAGTAAATGCTTTATACCATGAATGTGAGAAGAATTGCACCAATCAAAACAACAAAATGAAACAAAGGGTGATGATCTTGGATCAAAAAAGCCATCCTGATGCAGAAAGTGATAGCTGGCCCTCCTATCATACATATGGTCAAAAGAAGCGAAGATGCATCCGGACCAAACACTAGTCTTCCCCCACAGTAAAATTTCTGAAACACAAAAAACATATAGAGAAACTCCACCTCAGACTATGATTTCATATAGACAAAATCTAAACTATAAGGCTAAAACTTTATGGAGAGAAGCTTAAAAGCTTTATGTTGTTCAAATTCTAGCTCAGAGAAAACAGCAGAAGCATAAATTTATATTTGCAGCACAACAATTCCGAACATTTGAAAGAACGTTCTTCCTCTAACCACGATTCTTAGCTTCCAATTCCTATAAAAATCCATAAAAATGTAAACTTTTTGAGAGATCATCACCAAGAAATCTTACATTTTTGCCGGGCCATACTTGATAGATCCTTTTCCGTTCAGGATTCTGAGACGTCATGGCGGTAACGTTAGGAATTGCAACTGACAAATATTCTTCGTCGCTTTTTCCAGTCTCAGAAACAGCAGCCAAACCCCGACAGCTTCATCTGCAATGTTCCTCTTTCCGTGTTTTCTAGATAATCACAGCCCAGCGAACGAAACCGGCGATTACAACAAAAAAAAACCTTGCCGCCGATTATTCTGCTTTCGTTACCTCCTGTTCCTAACTTTTTTTCTTCTTCTGATTATGGTTTCTGTTTGAGAGATGTGTTTCTCTCTCTCCCCCTCCATTGATTTGTCCTCCGCCATTGGAAGTTCCTCAACACCAACATCATTCTCTGGAACATCCTTAACATAGCTTTCTCGCCCATTAAGACACTGGCATAGCCACGTGTCATGACTCACAATTCTATAAAAGGTACTTATTCCGGTTTATCTAAAATTCAATTCAAACCAATAATAAACCATAATGAACCGGATCAATCCAATCCGTTCGTTTAAGAAGACGCAGTGATGAGTTAAAAAAAGCTTATCCAGAGAAACTGATAAATTTGATATGAAGAACGTCTGAAGACGAGTTCTTCCATTAGACGAAGATGGCTCTTCTCTGCTTCAATTCTCTCCCTTCTCTCTCTTCTCTTTCTTCTTCTTCTTCGCCGCGCCTTCTTCAACCTTCGTCTTTCGCTTCACCAGGTAATGCCTTTTAGCTCGTTTCTAGTATCTGTCGCTTTAACTTCGTTTGGCCGAGGAATTGTATTGGGGAAGAAAAAATCTCCATTAGAAACCGAATTCGAGATCCTGCGCTCTGAGTTATCGAGAAAAAATGGAACTTTTGTTTTAGGGAAGTGAGGTTTTTAACTGAAGAAATCGAACTAGGCTTTGATTGAGGCATTTAATCGAACACTGGGTTTACTTGTAATGTTCTCATCTTTTGTGTTTCTTCATTTTGTAATTGTCAGTTTTGAGCCTTAAACCCAACGCTGTCGAGTCCAAGAACCGAGTCTCTCTCAGTGCTTACAACTTGAGCAGTAGCCATGGAAGAGCTGCAGCAATTGTGGTGAAGGCGTCTGCTTCTGGCGTTGACGGGGCTGAGCCTGAGAGCAGTGAGGAACCAAAGACTGTTGTTGCTTCTGTTCCTGTGGATAAACTACCATTGGAATCTAAAGAAGCTAAAGAGAAACTGCTCTTGGAACTGAGGCTGAAGATGAAACTGGCCAAGAAGGTGAGGCTACGTAGGAAACGTTTGGTTCGTAAGCGTAGGATGAGGAAGAAGGGTCGATGGCCACCTTCGAAGATGAAGAAAAACAAGAATGTCTAAGTGACTGAACTGTTTGCTGTTCTTCTTATTCGTTTTTTTTGTAATGTTGTTTTCGGTGTTCAAGGACCATTAATGTATTTCAAATGCAACCATTGTTTTTGGATTTAACTTCAAAATGAGTTCTTTAAAGAACCATTCGTATACAAAGGGTGAGCAGTCTACCAATAGAGTTATAGAGCCAAAAAGTTTAAACTTGCATTGAATTTGAACCATTTGGCTATTAAGGAAGAACATGTGAGCGGAAGATGAGAGGATAGGTGCAACAGAATCCGCTGCTCCAACACTGCAACAATATATATTTGAAAATTGATCAACTAATTGATTCTATCTGTCTTTGGCATGAAAAGAAACTTAACTAGGCATGTGGCTTACCACAGAAAGGAGTGGACCTTGCTTGAACTTGTCATGAAATGAAAAGGAGAGAGCTTTTGGGTTTTCTCCAGGTCCTCTGATGAAACCGCTGTAATCATAAAAGCATTACGATTTGTCTATCGATTTGGACAATGCAAAGATATATAAACGGGGTCAAGACCGATAGAATGAATAAACAGAAGTACTTACACTAGTGATGCTGATACAATGGGTGTCCTTCGAGTGTCGTAGATGGCAATCAATCCTTTGTAATCGTCATCGCCTCCTTTATACGAAACAGCCAATCGTTCCCCAGATGCATCCCATGCTATCTTTTCGATTCCCTTACTGGTTGCTCAGTTAAGAAAACCACAATATCAGGAAATAATTAATGAAAGGCTTTTCAGGTTTTATTTAACAACAGTCAAATAATTTACCAGCCAGTCAGGGGAGCAATCTCTGGCAATTCAACTGGTAATAGATGGGCATCTGGTAGTAAACCGAAACAGAGGTTAAGTATGCTAACTGGCAAGTATTACTAGTAGTATAGGCAAAACGACTTCGACGTTTCTACATACCCAAGGATGGTGGCTTGGATGAGAAATGAACTGAGCCCAGTGTGGAAGATTTTGAAAACGAAATCAAGATAAATCGTCCTTCAGGATCCCATATTGCTCCCTTTCAAAGTTGTATTTAAAAGTATTATAGCTTAGACCATTTAAGAAGATGGAACACAGTTACAATTTCATACATAAAAGAAAGAAAATGAGGGCTTAGTAAACAGAATGAAGTATGCACATTTGCGATGCAAACAACACTAGCAATGTTGACCTCATCCAACAAAACATTTTTTAGCAATAAGCTACTGCATATCTCACTATCTTATGTATGGGCTCACGAATGAACTTACCGTGACAGATCCAGATCCAGTTGACAATGACCAGGGCTCAGATGTCCATGTGTTTGTTTCCCAAAGGCAAAACGTCCCATCACTGTGACAGAGAAACATTTGGTTAGCAAACACATCAAACACGAAGCTACTTTCCACATCTCTAAATAGAAAGAGAGTTGATGTCTTACAATCTTGCTGCAAAGAAGTAGTCTCCTGTAGGTGACCATTTGAGCATTGATATGCCACCAAGTCCCCGTCGAATAGGTGTCCCCGCTCCTGGAAGATGTATACAGATCACTTTCAGAAACAAAGAATTCAATCCAGTTAAGCAAGATGCAGTTTCTCAAACAGGATGTTAAATAAGAGCAAGATAACAAATTCTGTCTGATCAACTGTTTTAGACTTCATTTACTGATCCATTGAAGCAAGGATAGCTGTTCAAAGAATTACATGATATTGTGCATTAAGAAAGTGTTCAAATTTCTCCTTCTATTACCTTGAGAAACATCCCATATGGTGAAAGATGAGCTGTCATATGAGGCTGATGCTAAATATGTGAAAATAGGTCAAGGAATAAAAGGATGGACAAAGTTAGGGACTCATGTGATGCAAATAAAAAAAAAAGATCCAACAAACGCCTACCTGAGATTCAGTTTGATAAATGACTATGGTAATTCAAATGATCTTAAGAACATCTGCAGTTAACTAACCACACCAAAATGAAGTAAAGCAAAACGATTGTAGCGAAATTCTTTTTAGGATATCTTCCACAGGGGCTCCATGAGAGAGCACTAATTTGCTCATCATTTTGACCCCGAAGAAAGTCTACCAAAATCCAGCGAGTTCCAGATCCTCGAGATAGACTTCCCCTCAACGCGGAGCCACCGGATCTAACCAATGCCATGTTACCTGGATAGGAAGCAGCCCATATGCATATTCCTCCCCTGTTTCAATGGAACAGATGTTACAGTAGAATCAAACTTTGTTATCTACGAAACTAGCTATTATAGAAATTAGACAGTATCAGAAGGTCAATAATACACACCGACAGGCTATGGAAAGGGATTTTCCACCATTAGGTCTCCACTCAAGGGCTTTAACACTTCTCTGGGAATCACTTGTCAAAATGCAAGGTTCTTTCTCATCTGTTAAAAAGAAGAATATGAAACTGTAGGCACAGTCCGGCACATGTGCACTAGGAATCTGAAACTGAATTTTAAAAAAACAGACCTTTGTCCTCATAATCACGGATTGTAACTTGATTTGCACCGGATATAAAGGAAAGAATATGCTTCTCCTGATGCCAACTCACTCCTTGAAGATCAATCTCTGAGAGGAGAGCTACCTAGAAAAGAAAAGGTGAGCGAGGCTGTGGCTTTGATTAACAGCTATGATGATGCCAATTTACAAGTGCAGAGAAAATTCTAAAACCCCTATTTTCAATTCCCCTAGATGCATAATGATAAGTATTGTAACTATCCATCACAAAATGCTAAGGTTTGCTCAGTCCACCACATGAATTAACACACAGAAATCAACAAATTAATAAAATCATATTCTTACATCGGTGGGTTGTAAAATCCGTTTAAGAGAGTCTGCAATCTTGGTTTGCAGTGTCGCCACTAGTCCTTTTCTATCAACACTTTCATTATCTCCATTCTCATGTCCTTCATTTTCCTGCAGCGAGCTAGGTGTTGAGTCAAACGAAACAGGGCTAAACACCATTCCCTGTAATCAATCAAAACACCCCCAAATCCGGAAACATGGAATTTGTCAAGACACACTTTAGCTTACAAGAGCTATATGAAAGCAAACATGATTATAAAAAAAAAAAAAAAGGACGCATACGAGAAGTTTTCCATAAGTCTCCTGAGCTCGATCATCAGACAAGTTCTCAGCCGTAACTGCATTCCGTAAATCCAACCATTAGCACAGAAGAAGTATCGAAATCCCTAAAAAGTTTTCCAAATAGACTACTAGCGAAGATGGGTATATAAAACTATGAAACGAGAGAGCTTTACTACATACCCAAGTCTCTGTTGATCTCGCAGACGGTGACGGAACCGGGATGAGGAAAAGATGCCATTGTCCTTCTCTATAGTGTTGTAGAATCCGCAATTTCAAACTGAAACAGTGACTTAAAAGGTTTTTCCGGCGTTCGGAATTACAGCAAAATACTTATCTGCACAAGTGTGGACTAGACTCGCGATAAGGTCAGACTATGACCGGAGAACGGCGACGGAGACTCACCGGAGAAACGGAGAGAGAGGATTGAGTGAGTGGTTTTGATTTTTGAAGAATTAGGGGTTTTGATTTTGAACACGCCAGGTTTGGTTGTGAAGTGTAAAAAACAAAAGTTAAATTCAGTTAAATTATATTTTTACTGTTTTCTTTCCCGGATTGATCTTTACGGGACTTAACCGGACCGGATTAGTCCATGCTTAAGCTTCTATATGCTTCTTTGATTCCTAGTTAAGTCACAAAAACTAAGAATCAAAACTATGTTTAGGTTCAAGAAATTGGTTTTTGTTTATGCTTCTTCTTGGTAATTTACGTAACACAAAATTCAAATGCTTTATTCTTTCTTTCTTTTTTTTTTGGTCTGCGACTGTAACTTATAGAATACACAAGCTAGTGACAAGTTGCATCATATCATAATGTGTTGTATTGTCTTTTTGATTTTGTTTTCATAATTGGTTAAGCGAGTTATATATTTTGTTTCCGTGTTTAGATTTTGAAACCTCACATAAAATCAAAAGATTTGTGTACTATTTTCCCCAAGAATATATAAATAGTTTTATTATCTTTTATACGCACCAAGTCGATTCTGAACTATACGTATGAGATTCTTCTGGCAGACGGCAGTTCCAGCATGTAACTTATACAAAAATATTTTGGGTATTCACACGACTTACTTCCTATTAATCAGCTAATATGTGTCTGTAATTTTGTATATATCCACCATTTGTTAGGCATGTAGATCTTGACTTTTGAAGAATAGGGGTGCCACTTCGGTTCATGTTGCCCGAAAAATTAAAACTAATAATATTAAAAAAATATATTGGTCAGTCTTATTTTTCAATATCCAACGAATCAAAATTTTAAGGGAAAAAGATGTAAATTATATAGGTTTTCTGTTGAATCTTCTCAACATACTTTAACTTGTCGGACATGGAAATGTTAGAAAGATTGATAGAAGTTACACTACATCGTTTTTTTCAGTTTTAAGCTAATCTCACAACTATTTGGAATATACAATAATTTTCATAATGTGGTAATTACCAAGTAATAAGTGACAATAATTAAAATGCAAAACTCTGGCGACACCGAAACAATACAAGATTGTAATATAATGTGAAAGACTTAGGACATAAGTTTTTGCATCTCACAAGACGCAAACGCGGTTTCTTGGAACCACACACCAAGTGTTCCTAATACGCGCAGACATTTACACCCTATATAAGCATTTCTTATACACACACATTATATTACACACAACCAAAAGATCATATTGAAAGCAAAAAGATTTTAAAAACAAAACGTGAGGCTAGTCCGGAAAAACATAATTAAGACAATGTTTGATTGGATACATGGAAACTCTCGTTTACCAATCTCCCTATCTGTACGTTACTACCAATCCTTGTTCTTTCTTTCTATTGATGTTTTACGGAACGTTTTGTTCATTTTCTAATGTATATTATCTTGTCATGTTTTAGATTGTGGAGCTTTTGGTAGACATGGATTGTCAAGGATGTGAAAAGAAGGTTCGAAGAGCCATTTCCAAACTCGATGGTAAGAAATATATATCGATGTGATTTGTTAGGCTTAATTAATACATATCTTGATGGTTAAGATTCTAATTATCAACGTGTGTAGGTGTGGATACGGTAGAGATAGACGTGGATCGACAAAAAGTGACGGTCACTGGTTACGTCGATCGGGAAGATGTTCTAAAGATGGTGAAACGAACGGGACGAACAGCTGAGTTCTGGCCATTTCCTTACAATGGATACTATGGTGATTATTATACATATCCTTCTCAGCGTTTGGAACAATCGGATCAGAAGATATACGATCGTCATCAGGCAGAGCATAGTTTTTCATCATATGGTGGAAAGTATGATTATTATGACGACGAACTTCAAAATATAAACAACTCTGCATCTATCCATAGTTATTATCCTCGTCCATCCCGAAGAGTTCAACCTACGATTGATGAAAACGCTCTTCATCTTTTTAGCGATGATAATGTACATGCTTGTACTGTCATGTGATTTTGTATAATTTCTTACGTGCGATTTGTACCATTCTTTCATTCATCTATTTATTTATTCATTTCGTTAATGTACCAAAAGTATTATAGTACTTTTTTTTTTTGTCTTAAATGTAAAAGCTTGTTCGATACATTCCATCTAAGTTTCGCTTTAAGCTAATCTTTTTGTTACACGAAAATTTCAATTTTATAATGAAAAAATCAATGTCTCCATATAGATCAGTTGGAAATAGAAGATAGATTAGAATGTTTAATTGTAAAGCTATATCTCTCGGACCAATTTGTCGACTAAAAGAAGGTTTTTCAAATAATTCAGATTGGTTTTCGTTTGTCCTAAATAATTCTTTTTCTGTATCATTTATTTATTCTTTTATTATCATGGTTGCAGAGAGTAAAAGAGATAATATTTTTTTCTCTAATTTTCTTATTAAACTTAAATTCCCAAACGGTAAATATGTATATATTTTTCACTTTAAAGGGAAAATACTATAAGTATCTTTTATTTATTTTTTTTTTCATTTCAAAGAATCAGTTTTGGGATCGAAAGCCTAACATATACTAATTCCAAAACTCCATTTACTTTCGTGTAAAACTACACTGGTTTTTTTTTTGTTTTCACAAAAACTACACTGGTTTATTTGTTAAAAATTTGTCAAGAAAATGGTAAAATATATATTGAAAGGGAGGATGCGAATGTATTTTTTTACCTGAATAAGCACAAAGGCCTTCCAGAATTCAAACGCAACTTAACTATCGGGTTCATCAGTATCATCTATTGGGCCTATACTTTAACAATAGAAGTTTCTTCATGATTTGTAGAACAGGGAGGAACCAAAGAAAAAGAAGGAACCCACTTTAATCCTCTCGGTAGCTACTTTTGAGTTCCAGTATCATCAAGAAACAGAAATCGAATTAGATGCAGGAAAGTTTGTCATAGTAAGAAAGCACTAATGTACAATCTATGTCTATATCGAATTAGAAACAGGAAACTTTGTCATACTGAAAACACTAATAGCCTCAAACGTAAACTGCAGCTAGCCTTCTGGGAACAGAGTTGCTAGCTCGTCCATTACCTGCTTCTCCAAATCTTCTGATAACTTGACCTGATTTGCACCAACGCTGCTGAAGTAATGAAATAAAGGAATTAAGTCAAATTATTTGTTGCTGCTACACCAAAAATGAAGAAAAACAAAAAGAGCAGTTACCATTGCGGGAAATGATATTCGGCCTTTTCAACCATCTCAAGTGTTGCCTTAAGTTGACGGGCCCTGTTGGCAGCTTCGAGTGAGAGATCCTCTTTTATAAGAAGGAAGAGGTTTTCCATGGACTCTGCACTATCTTGCCGAGAGAGACATTTCAAGCGCTGCTGAAACTTGGCCAGTTCTTTGTTGTCTTGGTCGGCAGCATCAAGAGGCTCTTTTTTTATTTGACTCTCCGCTTTTTCATGTCCCAACATTGTTTCTTTTAATTGGTCTATTGCAGCTTCAATCACCTCTTCCGGATTTTCTATTTGTCTCAACACAAAGCCTGAATTAGAAATCAGGCTAATTGCAAAGACAAAATGGTTCAGAGAAGAAGAACCCTAAGTTCCAACACGGTTCGTGACCCATCGAAGGAACCCTAATTTCTAAGCAAAATTAACAAGAAAAGGCAACACAAGACTGAGATCAAACTAAAAAAGAGAGCTAATTTCTGATTCAGTAACCCAAAAGTCGAATCCGATTCCTAAATCAGCCAAGTAGAAACACTCGAAACCTAATTTCTTAGAAATATTAACCACGAGTTCGACAGGAAGCAGCGACCGTCCGATTCTGACTCAAAATCCAATTCAGTCTCCTCAAAATTCCAATTTACAGAAACCGAAGCATAAGCTAAGAACTATATTCACAGAACAGAATCATTACCTTGAGTTCGATTCACGTCGTGGGAAGAAACGCTATTAGCAGAATCGTCGAGCAAGAAGAAGAAGCTCCTGAAGAAGAACAAAGCGGTGTTAAGAAAATAGCGGATTTCACCAAACATCTGACCAACGAGAATCACAGGGAGATTCTTACCTGAGATTTCAATATGTAACCTAAAAATTTCAGAGCTTCCAGAGAAGAAGATGAATACGAAAGTGAGCTGTTGGACATGGGCTTATAAAGACAAACAGGCCCAGAAAACTTAAATGGACGGCCCATAATGCGATCGGCCCAAACTTAGGTCGGCCCGTCCACAAGCGGCCGCAACACAGAGCAGTACCATATCGAACTTCGAACTTCTCGGATCACAGGTTTCAGGTTTTCAGGTTTTCACGTTTTCGAACTTCTGTTATTGAATCAACTATAGGGTTCAGCTATTTCAAACATATGCAGAACCTGTGTTACTTAGGAAGGTTTCTCGATTAAAAAGTTACAACTCAAAAAACAAATGAGAAACAGAGTTGAGCTGTTTGAGCTAGATTTCATATATTTCCAAGTGTTTGCAAATCTCAAATCACACTTCTAGCTGAGATGGTTAAAAAGTAAAATCAGCAGATGGTTTTAAAGATGAAGCAGAGATCAACTTGTGGAAAATGTGAAATACCCCAATGCTTGTTTTATCTACTCTGTGTTGTTCACCATAATAATCACAAGACTACTGTCAATTATATTTGAAGAAGCAATTAGCAATATAATCTGTCACAAAAGGTAATACTTACTCAATAGATCTTGCTTATAATGTTGTTTAGATCATACCCACGGATGAACTAAATTACTCAGGTTCGAAGTAACCGTAACACAGAATAATATTCAACGTTTTTTGTTTGTTGGTGTCGTCCTCGTAATTAAAAATCCAAAGACCGACCCACATGAGATGATAGATAAGTGTCTGAATCTTGATAGATGGATAGTATGTATCCCTAATAAACCCATCTCAGGTGCAACCACCAACAACCACTTGTATATTTGTCGCCTTTACATTAGTCTTTGTTCTGACTATACTATATAAAATCTGCTTTGGTCAATCTATGGTCCCTCCCTTATATTTATTGCTCGGCAAATACCAATATCTCTATACAAAAAACCCGAGTTTTAATAAGTGAATAGATCCAACAAAGTGTGAAGTAGTGCATCCAAATCAAGCGTCAACCTTGATTATAAACGCATCGGGACCTTAAGTAAGCAAAGCGTTGTTTTAAAAGTATACGTTTTGTTTATAAATGGGCAAGAAGTTTAATCTCAACGGGACAGCATTGGTGTGGTGTGACGTGTAATTCAGGAATCAAGAGAATCAACGAATAATGACGTTTTACAGTCAAACTAAGAACACGACTGATGATGATGATGAATGCTTCCTCTTTTGTGGCATTGACGTTGACTCCACGCTTTATAACTGACCTAAGAAGGTGTTGAAAATTCAATTTGATAACTTGGAATAAACTTCAAATTGCTTGCGACTTTTCTCCTATCATCTCTTATATAAACAAATGAATATATTATTAGTCTTCTTAAAACTTTTGTTTGTTTTCTCTGATCACCAAACCCATTACTAGAGTTATTTTAACGTTTCTCATTTTTTTATTTACGATGTAATCTTTTTGACTTGGGGGTTTGTTGTTGTCGCATTATCGTTTACTTTGACATGCTCTTGCTCTTGCAGTAGTTGTTGAAAGCTTATCTTCTGTAAAACTTATTTGTTGCTCTTTTACTATGCTTTAATATTATATGTTCATTAGGAAACTTTAGATAAAAAAGAAGAAGAAAGAACTCAATATGGATTTGCATCAGTAATGGAGACATTATTGTAGTGGTGGTGGTGATAACGTAAATGAAATGATTGTCTTATGTGTGATATTGACAACATGGGAATGGGACCATCATAAGATATTCCCCTTAAGCTTCTCAGAATCTGTCAAGAAAAAATCTCTCTTACCTTTTCTTTCTTTACGGCCTTATAAACAGAGTATGATTTATCTTCTTCCAAGCTTTTTTACTCTTAAATTAAGTTTTCGAAAGTTAATACCAAAATTAATCAGTGAGGCTTATATAAAAGATACATAACTAATGACGAAATTAATAAAGACTAAAAGAGAAGTTCTTTTTTTGATTAAACCATATAATTTCCACAAAGTATGAACAAGAGACTCCATAGTCCATAGCCACAAAAGCTAAGAACGAAAAAACAAGATCATTCATAGAGAAAAATACAAGAAAAAAAAAGAAAGAAGATCTAATTAAGAAAAAGGATTACATCTACAAAACACTAATTAAGAATCATATAACTGTCCATGATTCAAGAGTTGGGAAGCTCGGGTAATTATCTAGTTCCACGGCGGAGCCACCACCACCACCACCGTTAGTCGCTGCCGTCGTCGTCGCAGCACTGGAACGGTGATGAAACGAATTGATCTGTGCTGAAGCAGAACCCAAATCTGTGACGATGTTCTCTTGGTGATGGTTAGACAAAAACGACGACGTATCTAGGGTGGGAACAGCTGAAGAAGACCGATCAAAGCTCCCGCACGACGGCGGTAGTCTACTAGAGAGCCTGTGCGGCTCCGGCTTCACAAGCGGCGCGAAAATGTTGTTGGAAGAAGCACCGATGAACTTAGCTCCGGTGACTTGCTGAACCATCTGGCGGAAATTAGCGGCGTCCGCCGTTATAAACGTGGTCTGAGATTTCTTGGTGGAAACACGAGGTCGGCGTTTCGTCTGTTTGCCACCACCGGAAAGACCAGGGCCGCGTTTTCGTTTGGCTCCACCAGCGATAGGGCAGGGGAGTTCGGGATCTGAGCCGAAAGAGACGTTAGAGAGAGTTAGAGGAGGGGAGAGATCGGAGACGAAGCCGGCGGCGGAAGAGGAATCGAAGAAAGAGGAAGGAGAAAGAGGAGAAGAGTCGGTGGTGGGAGTGGAGATGGATCTGTGAAGAGCTTTAGCGAGTATATCACTATCGTGAGAGAAGGTATCAGAGTTTAGCCATGAATCTATGTTGAAGCTTTGACGGAATGACCATGGATCAACGCTCGCTAACCCCTCCGACGACGCCATGGATTTTTGAAAGTTAAGTAAGTAATCACCGGCAATAATTTCGAGATCGGAGAAGAAAAACAAAACAAGAGTGAAGAGCGCTCTCTGTTTTGTTTTGTTTTGTTTCTATAATCTTGTGAGATGGATAGTGAAGATTGAAGAAGGAGGAGGAGATAATTATAAATATAAATACTAAAAAATAAGGACGGCGTAGAGAGAGAGAATGAGAGAAACCGCGTGGAGATGAGAGAGAATGGTGAAGACACGCGTCAGCAGACTTGTACGGAACTCTGACTCAGCTCTCTGTCTTCTTTTTCCTTTTTTTTTGTTTTGGTCTTAATAGTCTTACGGTCTGATTATTAATTGAGCCCATTGTTTCTTCATCAGACTCACTTATCCCCCTTATTAATTAAGAATTATGACGTAGCTAATCTCTCTTTTTAACATTCAGAGGAAAAAAATGATTACGAATGGACAATTTGGAAAGGGGAAAAAACTAACTGTACTTGTTTAGCAATTGTGTGGATATATATGTAGTAGAGAACTTTTCGACTGTTGATGCAAGAACTCTATGATGTTTAATTTTTTAGCCATATATATGCACCTATCCAATTTTATAAAGACATACTCACTGGATCCAGGAAGTGTTGATATCTAATTATAAACACATATGGCTATACATATTCATATACATCCAACTTTATAAAGTAATTTACTTGAATCTTAACAAGCCGTTCAAAAGTTGGAAGCAAATCAAAGATAACGAGAGGGTTAAACGCTAGCTTGATAGGTTACATTTTACATATAAATGTGAAAATTCAAAGTAGGACCTTTGTGACCAATATAATATATACTCTAGTAAAGTATCTGAATATGTACAGTATATATAGCTAAGCTATATGTGTTTATATAATTAGGGGATATTACTATAACTATTTTGTTGGGTCAACAATGTATTAAATTGTAGTATATATAGTAGTACGTACTATATTTATGTGGTTTCCATTTTTGCGTTGATTTTTGTCAAAGCTTCGAATTTGAGAGGCATCGTATTTAATTTTTGTTTCCTTTTATATACTTCTTATATTCTAAGGGGGACAAATAAATTTTATTTAATGATCTCGTATGTGTTTTTTCTTTTTTGTTCTTCTGTCTAAATCCATATACCACCAACCTACAAATAATAAAAACAGACATATATATATATATATATATATACATACAAATATACAATATCGTAAATTGCAAGGAAAAACATTAAAAGAATGATTAAAAAAAACATTAAAAGAATGATAGGTCATAAATCCAACCCTGGTTGACCGATTCCACAAACTATATACATACATGATAACATGATTCATTTTCTCATTTCATCGTAGTTTTCTTATGGATATATATCTATATATCAATTGATTTACCCTTTAATTAAAAAAAAAACAAACAATTTTGAGAAAAACATAAAAACTTAAAAGCAATGATTTGGCAATGATATTGTCTTTTTATTTATAGTTAAAATATAATTATGTATATATTCATGTGTTTAGATGGTTTTTATCGCTAGCTATTCCAATTATGTGAACCGGCCAGATCAACCTAACTAGCTAGTATGTAACTCTGAAGCTTACGAGTATGATTTTACAGTTTGTGAAAAAAGAAGAAGCTGTAACGTGGGAATAGGATATGAGAGTGTGAGGCTGGCTTTTGCATGAATCATGCATGCATGAGAGAAGAATGATCCTGAAATGATTATCGTCGACCACGACATCAATCTTTTTCGCATGAAAACGCGTTTTCACGTATCCCTATGTCTTCCCCTTACACTGACTGTCCCCTCCGGCCCATTCTTCTTTCTTTTTCCTTTTCAAATATCAAAGTCTGGTACACTTGCACATGTCTTTGTTCATCATTTTTAATAATTAATCCACCAATATCGTCTCCACTTTTTTCCCCAGTTTTTTTTTTTACTTTATGTGTGATTTTTTGCACGTATATTAGCCCGGGGCACGAAGCGAATATTCGGCAAAATTTGTGATATTTGTGATTTGCTTCGTTTCGACCGAATAGTTGATTTTGTTATTTGCTTCGCTTCGTAAATTTTCGAGTATTCGGAACTTCGAATATTCGAATATTTTTCGTAATATTTGCGAATTAATTGTTTCGCTTCGTTTCGACCCATCTAATTTTTTTTTAAAACTAAAAACATATAGTACACAAATATAAAGTGCAAAATATGAGATTTTAGAAGTTCTTGTTTGACATGTTTTCAAAATAAAAAGAAAATATAACCACCGTCCATATAATTCTCACATTTTATTTTTAATATTGATTTTTCTAATAAAGTTTTATTTGCTTAAAAACAACATTTAGCAAAAAAAACCAACGGAGCAAAATATAATAATTTGAATAATAAGCCTATAAGATATATACCCAAATCTATAAATACACATATTATATATATATTATAAAATGATTTATATTAATACATATATATAAATATACGAAGCGAAGCGGATATTCGGCAATAAGAAAATCAATATTTGTTATTTGCTTCGTTTTTTACGAATACTACATTTTCATATTTGATTCGCTTCAATATCTTATAGATATTTGAATTTTTCGAATCGAATCGAAACGAATATCGAAGCGAAGCGAATCTAACGAATATTTTGCCCAGGGCTAACGTATATGTATCATGTACGTCTGTCTAATCTTCTTACTACAATAGACGACGCGCGGATTGGGTTTTTGTGAAGTGTCTTTCGAGTTCACTAATAATGTATAAGCCACTATTAGTTTCCTTAATGAACTTATCAGCTTGTCTTTTTCCACCTACGAATAAATTAGCAAAGTAATATACTATAACGTATTCTGAATATATATGTAAATTAGAAAAGCATTTGCCGTGACTTTCGAAGTTGTCGCTTTCAACTTGTCGCATGCCTCTTTCAACGTAAGTTCCCAGTGTTATCAAGCGCGGAATCTTGGTCTATGCCATATTGTCAGAATAATACTATACAAGTATATATTTACGCCGATATCAATGATATAATCACATCTACATCCACGTAAAAAAAAACATATGTTAATTGAACCCTTGATCTTTATAATATATCTATGGATGAGGATAATAAGATTTAAAAACGTATCCATACTGATCGAGAAGAATAATGGGTAGGAAACATGTTATCTTTATGCAAGCCCACATGGCATTAACTGAAAAAATAGTACACAAATGGTATGGCACAGTACTACTTGTAATTGACTAATTGCTAGTATTAACATTTTCCCATAAAATTATTGGATTGTTGAGAAGAAAGATCCCTAATTAAATCACGAGAGGAACCATATATGATTACATACATATACTATTTGTTTGATATATGTACGTAGGACGAAGGTGATTGCGTGAAGAAAGCTATCTTGATGAGATTGGTTGATTGAGAATCTAATTATCTAAGATACATGGTATATATCGTTGATATGGTTTTGTAAATTCAATTCAGAACAATTAAAGAGTTAACTATGTTGTTTTTACGATAAAGGAGAGAATTGATGGACCCGTTAAACAAATACAAAAACCGGATGGACCAATCCTTTAACGTAACTCTCTGAGTCTCTTCTTCATTAGTCGTTTGATTTTAGTGGTCAATTATTGGAGACCTAAACATTTGGATGACGTCGGCTTCAGCATGTTTGATTAATGTTTACTATCATTATACTCTATACAAAACAGTATTAAATAATTTGGATAAATACCACAAAACCCATACAAAGTTTTTTAAAAACATTATTACTCACTTTGTTCTTTATTTTCTTTTCTTTTTTGAATAGTATATTAGGTTTCTAGCCATCACAAAAGGAATAGTTAAGTTTAAAGAAGTAAAGAACTGTATATGTCGTATTTTGGAAAAAGTGAACTTAGAGAATTCTTTTGATATATTAATTAAAAACAAGTAGATTTATAATGTCAAACTTGTAAAAGGATAAGAGTCAGCAAACAATGTACATTGGCTAGTCTTCATTTTAGTATGTGCTAGTCCATGATAATATGAGTTGTACAACACTCGTAAAGTCCCGATCATTGACATATTTAGTAGCTGGGAAACACATCAATGTCATCCATCAGTATTCGAGTATTAGTTTATTTAATTGACCTTTCCATTAATCAGGGTTGATGTCAATTAGTAGATAGTATATAGTCCACTACTGTGTATATTCATCACGACGGTCTTCATATATTCGATTTGGTGCTACCATCTATTTATATATAGAGATATGCGACTATATGGCAGATAAGATTGACGGACGAGTGAGACGACGATTCACGTGCGTTCAAGATGTCTAAAACTTCAGACTTAAGAAGATTATAAATCACGTCTTCATATATTTTTGTTTGTAATAATATTTTGATATTGTTGTGGTCAAAACTATTTAGTGCATTTGGATAATGTATATATGTACCTTCAATATAATCAGCATGCAAAATAAAATAAAGACAGAAAAAAAAGAAAAAGGAGAAAGTCTTTCTGAGAGATTAGTCGTTAGGAAAAAAATGTAGCATTTGATCTAAATCGGAGCATCCTGACAAAAAGAAAAAAAAGGAAAACGAATCTAAAAATGGGAGGAGGAACAAAGTCAACAGACGCCAGCGATGTCGTCATCTTTTTAAACCCATGTAATCATGACGTTATCATGACGTTACTCGCGTTCATATTATTAGGGGAAATTAATTAATTATTTTACTATAGTACTATATGGCTTTATCTTATTATATACAAAGCTTTAAAGTGATAAATAAATAATTAAAGTAAAGTTAAGAAGAAAAAAGAAAAAAAAGAGAGAGGCACGTGAGAATGTTGACTTGAAGAAACGGTCGTGTGTGTGTATCAAACTCAGAAAATGCATTGCGCCCAACGTTTCTCTCTTCATCCAATTCTAACCCATTTCCCAAGAAAGTGGCCACTCTTGTCCCCCAAGCTTTCTTCATTCTCTTTTTTCAAAAAGATTCCCTTCTTTCATTTCGCTTCTCTACAATACTAATATATATACTCCATACTCCCATACATAGCAAACTGTATGTAAATAAACGATAAAATATGAAACTGGAGTTTTATGTCTCCTTATGGCGGCCTCTGGATCATAATGATACAATAGGACTAATTGATTTGAAATATGGGCCTAATCATACTGGGCCTACTCAGGATTATACTCATTACAGTAACTGAATTCGCTTCTTGCTTTTTCTCTCAAGACTTGAGACTTGGATGATGTCTATGAATCACGATTTAAGAGGATGTTGGAAAAACAAAACAGAAAATAACTGTTTAGTTAAAACTTAAAATTTAAACGGAGAGACTTGAAAACAAGCATAATTAAAGACTTGGGAACAAACCATTTCAAATTTTGAAAGCTTTTAGATATGTTTTACACTCGTTTGTGACTTGTTTCTGTTTAATTACCAGAAGAATCTGACGAGTTTGGTTTTTTTTTTTTTTTTTTTTTTAAGATTGGTTAATGTTGCTGTAATGTTGCTACAATAAACGTTTGTTATGCCAAAACTAGTAAGTAAAAGTCATCTTGGTTTTGGACTACAATCAATCGATTATACAGTACATCTCGTTAAATTTCTCAATACAATGTAAATATACAAATGGTGTCAAGAGTTTTACGTTACACTTCTGTTACAGAACTTTGTTTATAGTTCAGATTCCAAATCAATCTCAAATACCTTGACTTGGCAAAGATCTCCTCCTGCATCATCTGCAAATTTTATCTTCTTTTTCTTCTGAACAATGTTTTCAGTAGCTGGAGCATCTTCTTTTACCATACCCTGTCAAGGAAGGGATTGGGAGAAGAGTTAGAGATTGGATGAAGACAAAAAGATCTCTTTGTCGTGTTTGTGAACGTTAAGAGTGTTCAACATACCATGAGTTTGCAAAACCGATTACAGTCACGCTCTATCATTGAAAGCCATTTCTTGCAACTCTCTTCTGTTTTTTCTGCATTTCCAATTACAGTTTTTACCTGTAAAGAGAAACCAAACATTGAAGCTAAATATGAGACAAACAAAACTCCATATGAATACCAAATTTAATTGCTTATAATAGACAAAAGTACCTCATCTAAGTTACGGTCAGACATGTTGGCGGTGTTGCTTTCAGCTTGCAGACATCTCTTTGTTATTTTTCTCATCGATTTCAGCTCTTTTGTGAGCCTGGCCGCAACACACTGGAAATCACGCATTTGCCCTTGCGAGAAGGCAATAGCTTTCTGCGAGCATACTTGTATAGAATTGCATCCAGTGCTGAAAGGCTGTGCTTTTGTAGCTTGAGTATCTCGACGTGGAAACTTGTTTGTGGCTCTTTGATACTTCGCTTGCCGAGTATTATTCTTTGCTTTTTGAATGGCTTGCTTTGTGCTTGGAATGATTTCCACTCGGTCGATGTTATCCAGCCCTTGAGCCTTCAGGATCCTATGCGAGTTTTGGCTACTGAAGTAGAGTTTCCCTTTGGATTCTGGATTATAGTTTGTAACATGGATGAGAATCTAAAGTGTTACAACTTACAATGCAAAAAAGCATACACAAAGACTTGAGTTTCTTATTTCATTGACTTACTTTTATTCCTTTTCTCAGGTGAATCAGGGTGCTCCATTTCCTTGCGAAGTTTTGCTTGAGAGGTGGGAGATAAAGTCTGCCAACCAAGATGTATCAAATGAGTAACTTCACTAAGAATGGAATTTGGTTTTGAGTAAATTATGCAAACGACAAACCTTTCTCCCTGAGAGTAGTTTTTCTGGTTGGTGGTGCGGCTGTTGTTGCTGGATACTGTCAGACTCTGCAACTTTTTGAACCTCATCAGGCTCCTTATAGAGTTGTGATAGTTTGTGGTCTCCTGCTTTATCTTGATGTTTGGAGTATACAGATTGTTGCAACCTTTCTCGCAAATGATCTTCTCCTATTGCAATTGTACTGTCATCAGGATCGAGATGCAAATTATCCAGTGAATTACAACAGCTGGTCAGCTGGAGAATATCAGTTGCTTCAGAAAAATTATCCTTAGTAATGTCTTCAGTTTCCCACTCAATCTCGGTATTTTCTACACAAAAATTGATAATGGGCAAACGCGGGTAATCAATAGCAAGTATATCTGGAACTTCTATTTTCACCATCTCCAAACCAGTTACGCTCATATCTAAGTTAGGCTTTAAATCATTGTTCTCCTCATCCTCTTTAACTTCTTCGTACCCCGAGCTTGCGTAAGAACAAATGAGGTTTCCGACACAACCAATGTTCTCAGTTTCTGAATGTTGAGCAACATCCAGTTCCATCTCCTCTCTAGATTCACTACTGAACAAAACAATTTGTTTATCCTCAAAAGCAATATAATCAGCAAGACAGCATTGAGCTTTCCTAGCATCGTTAAACTCTTCTGATGCTTCTTCAAAAGCTTCCTCCACCGGCTTTATAGTTAAGGGATCTTCAATGGCTACCATTCCGGGAAAATTTGGCTCTGCACTGCCAGATGGAACCAGTCTCATGTCCCTGGACGAATCGAGAATTATTTCTTTCACCAACACCGTATTTGTATGAGATTCTGACGCTTTGCTACAATCTAGTAAAGGATCAGCAGGAATCAACTCCATGGCTTCAGAGACCGAGTAGCTATCATCCCAAGCTTCAGGCTTCACATCAACGAACACAGGCAAATAAACATTTTCCACAGATGGAGGGGAAGTAGAACCACATTTTGCTTTACGCTCCTGTTTTCTCTTTCTTTTCTTGGAGAACTTCGTATCCCAATTGCTAAGAGGCTCCTCAGTATCACAACCTTCATCTTGAGCCAAGTACTCCTTTTTAACTTCAACGCTTGAGGCTGTCTCAACATCTCTGCGGTTTCGAAGTATCCTTTTCTTGGCTTTGCATTGTTTCCGAATGTTCTCCAGTGTTATCATGCTAAAATCTTCCGGATCAGCTTTCACACTTGCCTCAGCACCAAGCAGACACGAGTCTTGTGTAATATCAGAAACATCTTCCAACTCCCTGACAACTCTTGGAATTGACTCATCATCTTTACCGTGTTCCAGGTTGTATACATCAACCAATTGTCTAAATCTGAGCTTTGATTTCCTTCTTGCATCCATATTCATCACTATTTTGATTGAACCCTCTTTAATGGCCCGGATATGATGCAATTGAGAGTTCAAATTGGTGCGACTTCTTAACTCCACCATTGGAACCAACAGATATAATTACTTCCTAACAACTGATTAAGCTCGAAAACCCCCCAAAATCTACACCAAATCAATCTCCTGAATTGGAACAAACAAAGGAATTGTCAGTAAGAGCTACAGCAATGTCTAGAATCCTAAAATTTCATCAAGACAATCAGAGAAACGAACATCATCAATTAACAACTAAACAGTGACACAAGTGGTGGCCAAAATTATTACACAACGATAATTTACACAAATTGAAACCGAAACTCATGGAAATCTATGTTGTAAGCTATGAAGGAAAAAAGCAATTAAGAAATTAAATTCAGCCATGGCAAAAGTGCAAAAACCCCTAATAATCGCGACATTAAAAAATCTTGTAGCTGCATCAATTCGAGGTGGAAAAGAGCAGATCTGGGTAATGTAGATGAAATCCAACAAAGATGAATTGAATCTAGACAACGAGATATGGACATTTGAGTTTACCTTAAACTTAATCGTCGCTTAATTGGATTGAGAATGAAAAAAAATGAAAGCCGAATTCAAACTTGTGGATCTAGGGTTTACTAGAGTATTAAGTATTTCAAAAAACAGAAAACGAAGAAGAAGATAGAGAAGGGAGCGTCTATTTGTTTTTGTTTTAATTGTGATAATCAATCAGAGAAGACTGACTGATTTACTACTTTATGAGGAGCGGTCACATCTCGCGGGAAATTCATGGCGGGAAGATTCTTTAACTTTTTGTTAATGGGTCTTCGAGAATAAAGCCCAGTAATCATAAATGGGCTTCATATTTTTTAAGTGGTCAGGGGGTATATGTGTAAAATTAACTGAAGCTAAAACTTGAGGTTAATATACGTCAATACCACATAGCGGCGTATTTTAGATAAGGAGAGGGGAGGGGAATATCATCAGCTTCCTTTTGGAGAAAACCAAAGCAAGAACAAAATAAAAATTCGAAACCCTAAAACTTCCATTGGACTTGGGGAGGGACCTTTAATAAAGCCTTGCTAATGATGTCTGCCATGACAAAGAAGAGAAAGCTCGAAGCTCAATCTAGCGAGGTGGAAGAACCGTCTCAGAAGCAGAAGACGGAGGAAGAGGAGGAGGAGCAGCAGCACCAGCTCGTAATTAAAAATCAAGCTGATGTCGAAGAAGTTGAATACGAGGAAGTAGTGGAAGAGCACGAAGAAGAAGTTGAAGAAGATGATGATGATGATGATGACGAACAAGACGATGAGAAGAATAATCAGACGACGGCGGGTAATCGTACGGACGAGGCGGCGGCGACGTCTGGATCTGGGAATCAAGGTGATGGAAATGATGATGGCAATGAGCCGATTCAAGATCTGTTGGAACCATTTTCGAAAGAACAGCTTTTGAGTCTTCTTAAGGAAGCGGCGGAGAAGCATCTTGATGTGGCCAATCGAATTAGGGAAGTAGCTGATGAGGATCCTGTTCATCGGAAGATCTTCGTGCACGGTCTTGGTTGGGATACCAAAACAGAGACGCTTATTGAAGCTTTTAAGCAGTTCGGAGAGATTGAAGACTGCAAGGCTGTATTTGATAAGATCTCTGGGAAATCTAAAGGCTATGGCTTTATTCTGTACAAGTCTCGGTCAGGTGCTCGCAACGCACTTAAGCAGCCTCAGAAGAAGATTGGTAGTCGTATGACGGCCTGTCAGCTGGCTTCTAAAGGTCCTGTCTTTGGTGGAGCTCCTATCGCTGCTGCAGCTGTCTCAGCGCCTGCTCAGCATTCCAACTCGGAGCACACGCAGAAGAAGATTTATGTTAGTAATGTTGGAGCAGAGCTTGATCCACATAAATTGCTTGCGTTTTTCTCAAAGTTTGGAGAGATTGAAGAAGGTCCATTGGGTCTTGATAAGTTTACTGGGAGACCTAAAGGTTTCTGCCTCTTTGTTTATAAGTCGGCTGAAAGCGCCAAGAGGGCTCTGGAGGAGCCACACAAGACTTTTGAAGGCCAGGTCTTGCATTGCCAGAAAGCAATCGATGGTCCCAAACCGGGCAAGCAGCAGCATCACCATAACCCACACAGCCACAACAATCCGCGTTACCAAAGAAATGATAACAATGGTTACGGTGCACCTGTAGGTCATGGACACCTTATGGCTGGTAACCAAGCTGGGATGGGTGGTCCAGCGCAGATGCTAAACCCGGCCATTGGACAGGCCTTGACAGCAAACTTGACAGCTTTGCTGGCATCACAGGGAGCTGGTTTGGCTTATAATCCGGCAATTGGACAGGCGTTGTTGGGGTCCTTGGGAACAGCTACAGGCGTAAACCCAGGGAATGGGGTTGGAATGCCAACTGGTTATGGTACTCAAGCTATGGCACCAGGGACAATTTCTGGGTACGTTACACAACCTGGGTTGCAAGGTGGCTATCAGACTCCACAACCTGGTCAAGGCGGTACAGGCAGAGGGCAACATAGTGTCGGGCCATACGGTGCTCCTTACATGGGCCACTAGATGTATGATGTATCATGTTTTCACTCAGGTAGAGCAATGAATTTCCCCTCTTTCATTGTTTTATTGTCTTTCTTCAGTATATCATCTTATCTGCAACTGACTTACTAATGTCTAAAGACAAGAACATTTTGTGTCCTGTCCCACATGGTTTTGGTTTGCATCGGAGTTTTGGGGATTTTTCAGTGGCTGTTACAGCTTGTTGCTTCTCTTATTTTCTTAAATTCATTGTGCAGATATCTGAAATCAGTGTTTTAAAAATTGGCCTGGTGATTCTTCTGAAGTTTATAAGGAGCTGATGCAAATGAAGTCTTTATGAAATGTTACTCTTTACTTTGATCGCTCCTAAGGCCAGACTCATAAAACCTTTTAAGGATTTTTAGTTTTCTACATGTTTTTTACCCAAACTCTCTTTATGATATTCCTAAAAAAAACATTGTACTACTATTTTTCAGAGTTTATGTCTCTATTTTTCAGTTTTCTGAACTTCCCCGTAGAACTTTCATTTGTAAAACTAAAAACGCAACTAGGCACCATGTGGGTCCTTGCTTATCGAATTCTATCTTTTCCAAAATAGTTTTTTCTATCTCTCTGTTTCATGTTTTTTATGGTTTTTTCTGCCTGTAGCATATCAGTATTGCATATTTTGTAATCTGTTCAAGTTATCTTGATTTTTATGTATCATCCTGATTTTTATGTTTGTTCAATCCTTTATTTCTCCTGCAGGTAGTGTGACTGCCGGTTGAACAACCAGCTTATATACCCTAACTCCCAACAATTTTTCTACAGCAAAACATAGACTAATCTCAACTTCAAATGGTTTCTAAAACTTGGAAATTTTTAAAACCCAGCAAGAGCCTTGCATTGGTGATTTTGGTTTTTCAGTGACAAGTTTCAAAAGTTTTTACATCGACATTTTCAAGTTAGCCCTTTGTTTCCAAACTTATTTGCCATAAAAATTACCAAGCTGTCAGAGTACCTGAAACAGTCTTGAAGTTGGCAGGAAGTGGTGCAAGCTTCTGAAAGTCACAGCTGAGGAATGATCTTTCTGAAAAGTGGAAGCTTTCGAATATTGTTTCTCGACAATCAGGTGAATTTGTTGGTTTCCTGCAGAAATTTTAGAAGAGTATCTTCTATGGCTATCCACAGGGTTGAAGGGTGGTAAGTAATGAGAAGTGTTAAAAGTATACCTCTCAACACGAATCTCTTACCACTATATGTTTCTGTTTATTGGTCCTATCCCCTCTTTTAAGTGTTAAAAGTTGGTTTTGGTCTGCAAAGTATGTACCTTCTCAGGTCCCTTGTGCACAAGCTTCAGTGAGTAACAGAACGTCACAAGAGTACTTCAGGTCCTTAGTTGCTTTGATGTTTTAGAAGAGTTTATAGAGGCGTGAATGCATAAAGTTTGTTGGTGATGATCACTTTGATGGTCAAATCTTTATTTGGAGAACTGCAGTTTCAAGATTTAGTTATGATGAAGAAGAAAAGGAGAAGCTGAAGTGGAAGTGGAAGTGGGAAAGTTTAGTAGTAGAGTTTTGTGTCTTTGATCTCACGCTACACAATCTCTCCACTGTGAAAGGTTTCGATTTTGCAAATATTGAATCAAATTTGTTACTGGCTTTAATTTCCTTGAACCAACCATGGTTCGACTTGGTGTCTTAAATCCTAATGTACCTGAAAATGGCTTAATGTCCTTGAACCATGATTATTGCCTGAAATGGTTTAATTTACACTAATTCATTCAAAAAAATTTCTTACACTAGTTACTATTACCATGTAAATAAAAAACAATAGTAATGAGCATTACTATTCAGAGCGTTATTGTCATGATCAAAAACCAGCTACTCCCAAAATTGGACAATTTGGTCATTTAAAAGAAAAATTAAGGAGAAGACTTGATGAAAAACCTTGCAATCTATCGAAATGCCCATATAAGCTAAGTGATTGAAGAAGGGGTCTGGGAGCACATGTAGTGTTTATTCCCATGGAATAAACTCGATTTCCACCTTCATTAAAGTAATCACTAATCACAATTATTAAACAAATCTCTCCTGCTTCGTATTTTGATCGAAACTTAACTTTTTAGTTAGGGGTACTAAAAAAAGAAAAGAAAGGAATTGAAAATTCCACAGGAGGCTTGAGGAGGGAGTGGGCAAACATTGGCACAGTATCGAGAGTGTCACTTTCTCAATCAAAAGGTTTTCTCTCTCTTCTCCTTTTTCTCAACTCTCCTGCGCGAAAACAAAACGAGAAATAAGAAAGAGAGAGAGAGAGAGACACAGACACACACACACAGACACAACAAGAGTTTAGGTTTGCTATGTAAATCTCTCTCTATCTCTGCACTTATTTCATAGTTTCATTTCTCTTTCGAGAAACAAAAACCCAAAGTTGCCTTTGTTCTAGATCTGGTCCTTTTTTCATTAAGCTCCACTTTTCTCAAAGATTGATGCTTTTTTTTTTTTCCTGTGTCTTCAAAAAAATCTCTTCTTTGCAAGCGTTTTGATTCTCCCCTTGTGTTGAGATTTCCATGTTTAGTATCTGCATTTGATCGCCTTCGATGCTGCATGCAATTCCCAAGACTCTTTCAGATTGCTACAACGCTGTGATTTCGTCTTCTTCTCGGCCATCTCTCTCTCCGATTTGATATCTGAGTTTTGTTGTTTTGGTCTCTCTGCTGCATGTTTCGCCACTCGGCCTTAGAAAAAAAGGTTACTTTCGCCTCCGATTTAGGCTTCGATTTCATGAATTCTTCGTGGTGTACGACATTTCTGGGTTGTTGAGATTAGGGTTTTTGATTTGTGGGCTCAGAACTGTTTTCGTTTTTATCTATCTGTGCTGGTTTTTTCCACTACAAAAAATACTTATGGATTCCCAAAGGGGTATTGTTGAAGAAGCCAAGTCTCAGTCCTTGAATAGGCAAGGCTCTCTTTACAGCTTAACACTTGATGAGGTTCAAAACCACTTGGGGAGTTCTGGTAAAGCACTGGGAAGTATGAACCTTGATGAGCTACTTAAGAGTGTATGCTCTGTTGAAGCTAATCAGCCATCGTCCATGGCTATGAATGGTGCAGCTACTGCTCAGGAAGGGCTTTCTCGGCAGGGGAGTCTGACTTTGCCACGGGATCTTAGCAAAAAGACTGTTGATGAGGTCTGGAAAGACATTCAGCAGAACAAGAATGGAGGTACTGCTCATGAGAGGAGGGATAAGCAGCCTACACTCGGTGAAATGACGCTTGAAGACTTGTTGTTGAAAGCAGGAGTAGTGACTGAGACAATCCCTGGTTCGAACCATGATGCTCCTGGTGGTCCTGCCGGCGGTGGTGGTAGTGCTGGTTCAGGTGCTGGTTTAGGGCAAAACATTAGTCCTGTTGGTCCATGGGTTCAATATCATCAGCTCCCATCAATGCCACAGCCTCAAGCATTTATGCCCTATCCGGTTTCAGATATGCAAACAATGGTGTCTCAGTCTTCTATGATGGGTGGTTTGTCAGATACACAAACTCCAGGAAGGAAGAGGGTAGCTTCAGGAGAAGTTGTAGAGAAGACTGTAGAGAGGAGGCAGAAGAGAATGATTAAAAACAGAGAGTCTGCTGCTCGTTCCCGAGCTAGGAAACAGGTGAGAGACAACTACTGTAATTGCAAATTTGTTGTTGGTATTAGTCTTATCAAGTCATGCTCGATTACTTTTGCTCTTTGTGTTCTAACGTTTGATATTGATGAGCAGGCTTACACTCATGAGCTAGAGATCAAAGTTTCACGGTTAGAAGAAGAAAACGAAAGACTCAGGAGACAAAAGGTAATGCATTGGAGGCTTTTCTCCCTTTCATTGTTCAAGTTTGTGATTGCTATAAACTTTTACGTTGTGGTCATTTTTTAGTTCTAGCCTTCTAGGTATTAGAGGCAATATAGATGATTGAAGATGTAATAAAGTATAGAATATTGCACACGCTCAGTAGGCAGTATAGGATAGAAATGTAACCGCAAACAATAGTAAGGATATAAACGTTTAAACCCAACCTCTTAAAGGTTAAGTCTCTGTTGTTGCATTGCTTCTTATGAGAATTGTTTTGCTGATTAGGAAGAACATATCATAAGAGACATAGTCTTCAGTTACTTGGAACAAAGTTGGATTTGCCGGTTTATTTTCACCTTGAACTTTGTGTTCTTCGATTTTGCCTGAGTCTATATGTGGCCATAGCTTATCCTTACATTGTGCAGGAGGTGGAGAAGATTCTCCCAAGTGCACCACCGCCCGATCCCAAGCGGCAGCTCCGACGAACAAGTTCAGCTCCTTTCTGATCTCTAAACTCTTTTCTTTTTTTGTCTTGTGTCGGTTCCCTTATAAAAAAAAGAGAGGAAAACAGCTTTGTTTCTTTGTACATTCCGTAGACTTTCTTGACTTGGAGCAATTCTGTTAACTTTCTTTTAAATATTATCTCGAGATATTTTAGTAGCAGCAGCAGCAATCATTTTCAACGAGTCTTGTTCAAATTCAAAGGTTGAACAGAAGGAAACTTGAGTTTATAACATGTGAATACAAAACTTAAAAGAGTTATAGACAAAGTCTGTAATGGATCATTTTTTAACGGAAAACTGTATAAAAAAGCCATCTTCTTGTGAGCCAGCTTTGTTTTCAAATGTCGACATTTATCTCAAATTCATCTCAAGAACTTGTTTGCTATATATTCTGCAATAGCCAAGCTTGAAGTTAAACCAGGTGACTCGATGCCAAAGAGATTAACAAGACCAGGAACTCCATGAGTCTCCTCTCCCTGCATTAAGAACACAAGAAACAAACATTAAGATGCCACAGAAACTAATGTCTGTGTTATGTCTGATGCTTCTTAACAAAAGATTACCTGTATAACAAAATCTACCGGAGACTGTTTTGGTCCGGAAAGCTTAGGACGAATGCCTGAATAACCAGGTTCCAATGATCCATCTTTGAGATCTGGATAATACTTTCTGATCTCGGGGTAGAATTTCTCTGCTCGGTGTGTCTTTACACGATAATCGAACCTGAATTTGCAGATCTTGTGTAAATTCAACATGGACAAGTGAGTAAGGAAAATTTCAAGAACAGATGCAAGTATTTACTTGTTAAGGAAGCTTGATTGATCGTCTATGCATTCAATCCATTCTACATCAGGTCCAAACTTGACAAGTCCGTTCAAATCTAAAGTGACATGGACACCGAGACCTCCTTCCTCAGGTATAGGATACACAAGTTTATTAAAAGGAGGAGACTTTGTGCCCGAAAGCGTAAAATAGCATCCACGAGCATAGTAGGACGGAGGAACAAATCTATGATCCAAGCCCTGGAATCTCTTAGCTAGAGCTTGAGCACCTAATCCCGCAGAATTAACAACGAGATTAGGGATCAGCTCAAGCTGTGCTTCTGCCTCACACAATCCAGTTTCAGCAACAAACAAATGCATCTTCTCTTCTTCAACATGACCGTTTAAAACCACTGTGTTGTAGGAAAAAGTTGCGTGATTGTTCTCTGCTTCTCCCTGTAGTTAGTCTCAGGTTGTTGTTATCCCTGTAAACCATGAAATCAAAATTCCTTTCCTAAAGACACAACAATAAAGATTCAATAGAGAGCTGAGAGAAGTATATTTCTGTACCACTAGAGATAGCATGAAGGAATGTGCATCAAGAATCCCAGATTCAGGAGATAACAATGCTTTAACACAACGAAGCTGTGGCTCCATTCTCATTGCATCAAAACCTTCCAACATCCTCAGACCCGAGACTCCATTTTGAGTGCCAAGATGCATCAATAGATCCAACTTTGGTATCTCAGAGGATCCCGTAGCAACGATAAGCTTACCAATCTTATTGTGAGGGATTCCATATTCTGAGCAGTACCTATACAGCAATTCTCTCCCTCTAACACAAAACTTGGCCTGATCAAAATCCAACAGAAGTCACTAATGAACATACCAAAAATACATAAAGAATTGATTCGATGCTTAAGAGAGAAAGGTTGTACCTTTAGAGAGTTTGGTGGATAATAGATTCCGGCGTGGACGACCTCGCTGTTCCGGGAACTCGTGACGGTGCCAAAAGATGAGGCGGCGTCGAGAATCAGCACTTCTCTGCCGCGGAGACTGAGCTCACGCGCAACCGCAAGACCCACGACTCCAGCACCAATTACGACAGTGTCAACTCTCTCTTTGGCTATCGTTTCCGGTACACCGCTTGCTCCTCTTGCGAATCTCCAGGTTGGTTTGAGATTCCCCGTTGAAAATCTCATCCATTTCCTACCCAGATAAGCAAGCATCTTCCTTTTGGTTTAGATGAAGTAAACCTTTAGTCTCCTCCAGCAAATTGCAGAAAACGTTAGCACCACATAAATAAATATGGTATTACAATACATCTTTTGCTGCCCCAAGCTGTACATTTTATTTGTTTAAAATTCTAAATAGATTAAGAGCAGAGTCAATCTAAAACGAGACCGTTTCAGGTCCTGTGTGCTTCTTCTTCTTCTTCCTCCTCCTCTTCCTCTTTTAATACTTTCTCCTTCACCCAGCTGGTTCCCGTTCTTGCTTTTTCTTATCGTCACTACTTTTCAAAATTGGTTTCGAATTCTTACTCTTTAGTAGACTGTTCGAAAGGATCCATTTTTGGCTTGATTTAGAGTAATGGGAGTGAAGGAACTTAGGAAATTGGGGGAAATTAGTTTTTTCTTGAATTGTGTACAAGGTATTTGTGGAATTGTCTGATTGCATTGTAAAATATTCTGATTGCACCTTTCCATATGCTGAGTGATCTGTGTGGGGTTCTTGAACCCATATTTGCGTTCCTTGTTCCTTCTCTGTCTATTGAGTTTATATCAGCGTGTAGTTGAAGCCAAACACATTGGTTTTCTCAAGAGAGAGTTTTTCATTGATTGTGAAATTGATAAGCTGAAACTTTGTGGTCTAGGAAGTAGCAGCTACATATCCCGGGTCAGCAGACCAACATTTCTTATAGCTGTTTCATGGGATTCGCCATCACCATCACATTGCCTAACTGTGGAAGTAAGTTATTTCCAAAGAGGAGTTTTAGAGACAAAGGTGCTTTGTCTCTTGCAATTTGCTGGGAGTTTTGTACTTTCTGCCATTGCCTTCATCCTGCACAGCCTCTTTTGGTCAGACATCAAAGGCATGTTTCTAACTTCCAAAGCATCAATTTGTGGCTTCTAAGTTAGCATCGTTGTGTGGCTGGAAATACAATGATATGAGTATTTTGGCAACATCTATATATTTCTTGCAATCATCTGTATATTGTCTATGAAGTCAGAGACCATAACCTACCAGTAAAATCCATGGTTATAAAGTAACAATATATCTAAACCATGGGTTTTTGTGCTTTATTCGACTTGTATGGAGTAGTGAAGTCCTTAGACCTCCAATTATGCTTAGGCTTGTCAATTGTGTGAGATGTACTGTGTTGCGATTTAAAGATCTAATGTTAAGCTCATCCTTCAGTATCCAAGTTTTCAGTGGGTTTTTTGCAATTTCCAGGAGGATGTCATGGACAAGAATCAAAAGCTCGGTTGGTGGGGATACATCCGATCCAGCATCCGGTTCTTCAAGTAACAGTAGCTCCAGAGGTCTTCGGCTAATCAAAGCCATACAAGTTCTCAGAACTAAGCTTCTGGTGAAAATTCAGGAGATAAAGAAAGATCTTCCCAAGAAACTGTTCTTTCTCTTGGTGGGATTCTATTCTGCTACTGCTTTCTCTACGTTCATAGGACAAACAGGAGACTGGGATGTTCTATCTGCTGGATTGGCTGTGCTTGTAGTTGAAGGTATTGGAGCTTTAATGTACAGAGCTTCTATTCCATTAATCAACAAGATGCGGAGCACAATCACCATGTTTAATTATTGGAAGACCGGACTCGCTCTTGGACTGTTCCTAGACTCATTCAAGTATGAAGTTTACAGAAAAAGAATCAACAGTTTTTATCTTTACGCTCTTGTGCTGGTTCCAATTAATGAACAGTATGAAAATTCTTTTGGCTTGACACAGGTTTTAGCTCAGACCTCGGAAGCTACAAGAAAGAGCGCGAAAACCTGTCAATGAACAGTGATCAGCAAAATTTTAACAAGCTGTGTCTCCTTTATGCCTGAAATCAATACCGGCGAGTTGTGAAGATTTTAACGCTCGTTGAAGACAAATCTCAGGTTTCAGCTTTTCAAATCACAAGCTAGAAGACATGGTACCAAACCTTCGAACATACTAAAAGCCAGTCACCAGCAAACAATACTCGACACTCGTCTGTAAAGCCATGTATTTGATTATGAGTCGAAACTGCATTGCAGATCAAAAAAGGTTCATAATAGCATTGATTCCCTGAAACAGCTTGTAATATTTATGTTTTTGAAGAAAATTTCCACTTTTTTTATCTTTTATGTAATTTGCAGCCTTAACCGAGTTAATTTTGCTATTAAGTTAACAGAGATCTTACATTTTTACTCCCAAAATTTTACATTAGAATATTTATCCAATTCCAGTTCTTCTCTGTGTTTACATAGTTCTGTAATCATTGGCAAAGAACATACAGAATTGCAGAAGCAAGACAGAGCATGTGAGATCTTATTCAACGCTGTAATGTAACCAACCAATCCTTTTAAAAAACACTTCAAACCCAGACGACGGTGACTCGACGGCGTATTGATTTTCTACAAAATAGGCGAGTTACTCATAGATTCGTCGAGAATCTATTTATCCAAAAGTCCCGCATCGACAAGTTAGAGGGCATTGGTCATAAGCTTCGTGGTATAAATAAGAAGCTGAGCCTTACGTTCAAATCATACCTTTCTCGGCCTTTTGGCTAAGATCAAGTGTAGTATCTGTTCTTATCAGTTTAGTATCTGGTATGTGAGCCATCGGCTCACTCGATATTAACTCTATTTTTTAAGGGAGAAAGCTCATGAAGATAGCTTGCTATCTGAGCTTTCGCGAGTCGCCCATGCGTTGCACTACTGCACGGGCCTGGCTCAACCCGCCATTCTTTTAGTTAAAAAAGTTGTCTCTCTGGCATTTATGGGTTTAATGAATCGTCTGTATGGCACTTCAAAACATATGATGATTGTTTGCGTGAGATAAAGACACAAAACTCTACTACTTATTTTTCCACTTCCACTTCAGCTTTTCCTTTTCTTCTTGAAACTGCAGTACCGGTTATCAGACTCGGAAGTCGTAACCAGCTTAGTGTGATTGCCTGTTATCATAACTAACTCCCTATAGTTTATATACCCTAACTCCCAACAATTTTTCTAAAACAAAACATAGACTAATATCAACTTTAAATGGTTTCTAAAACTTGGAAATTCTAAAACCCAGCAAGAGCTTTCATTGGAGTTTTTGGTTTTTCAGTGACAAGTTTCAAAAGTTTTTACATCGACATTTTCAAAAGTTTGGTTTCCTGCAGTTAACTCGCTTCCAGTTTAAGAGTAAGTTCGAAAGTCGTAAAGGAGTGTCTTTTATGGCTATCCACAGGGTGCTTCCAGTTGAAGAATGATTGATTAATTAAGCTTTCTTGGTCACATAGATAACATCTTTCTTGTCTGATGGATAGGTATCCGTACGCCCATCAAGAAGTCTTCCCTTGATAAAAAGACTCTGCAACTTTACACTTGAGGTGTTCTGTCCTGATGATGTCCCTCGAGCTGTCCTAGTAGAGCTTAACGCCGAGGTAACAAATCAAATCCATCTTCTTTTTTTCTCTGCTTTTATATGGTGCATTCGCTATACTTTTTTTGTTTGTTTCTCATTAGAGCATGTTGAAGCAGAAGTTTACCAGGAGCTAGCTTCCCTTATGCAGCTTAATTCTTTTGTAGTACTGTTTCTTACATTCCTCCATCATCAATCAATGTAGCAGAGAGAGTTGCAGAGGTAGAAGGAGACATCTCTACAATGTCAAAGAATACGTCTAAGAAACAAAGAAAAGTATACAAAGAGTGACGAAAAGCTGGAGGAATCAGATTCTCCTCCTACATCTATCATTGAAAACGATGTCACCTTCCACACAGAACAGGAATGTGAAGCACCAAGTTGAGCAGATAGTGAGATAGATGCAGTAGTTACAAATGCAAGAAAACGAGTTACTTAGGGAAGTGTGGTGGTCTATGTGAGGGATTACAAGCCAAATATCGAACTCCTTAGGAGAAATCCCTTTGATACCATCTACTGAAACAAACCAAGTCCTGTCGAACTTACATGTAGCCGTAAGTATTTGACCAGATGAAGATGCTCTTAGGGAAAGTATTTAGCTAGTTACTGCCTTTTTCCTGGAATTTTATTTTGTTTCTTTGTTGTATTTTCTCCTCAAGAAACCATCCAAATACTAACGTTTCTCCTATGACAACTCTCTCAACGGTAGATTAAAGGTGTTTGCTTGGAATTTGAATCTATAGTGTCAGTTAAGACCAAGAAAAGGATACAAATACAAACAGAATCTGAGCACACAAATCGTTGGATCCAGCCTATACTCTGCAAATGAGTTAGAAACACAACATTGGAGGAGGAAGAAAGAACAAAACCTAAAACTTGGAACTGCTATGGCTACATAAATCTACCACCAGGATTCAAAAACAAACATAATAGCAGATTAGCAGCTCAGATTTTAATAGGAAAATAACTTAGTGAGCTCAATGGGAGTAGCATTAATTCCCTGAGCATGAAGGCTCCTCCAATATTGCTTTGATGACATTTTTTTACAAGACTTTTATTCCTCTGGGTTTACATAGTTCTGTGTTCAGTGGCAAATAACGCACACAGAGAATAAACATTTGTAGAAAAGAGAATTTGTAGTAATGTTTTATCTTTCATATGTGTTTTGTCTTTCATATGTGTTTTGTGGACCAAAGAAAAATAAAGTGTGTTTGACGAAAAGAATGAGTAAAAGAGAAGAAGACTAAAGTGTATTTTCCTAAATATCCCACATCGACAAGTTAGAGAGCATTGGTCATAAGCTTTGTAGTATAAATATAAAGCTGAGACGTTCGTTCAACTCATACCTTTCTCGGCCTTTTGGCTAAGATCAAGTGTAGTATCTGTTCTTATCAGTTTAATATCTGATATGTGGGCCATCGGCTCACACGATATTAACTCTATTTTTTAAGGGAGAAGGCCCGTTAAGGTAGCTTGCTATCTGGGTCTTCGCGAGTCGCCCATGCGTTGCACTACTGCACGGGCCTGGCTCAACCCGCCAATTAATCAGTCAACTTTTGTAATCTTTTATAACTAATCATAATCAAAATCCGAGCAAATCAAAATAATCATAATCAAAATCCGAGCAAATCAAAATAATTTTACATATTAATCACTTGAACAGTGGGTAGAGGAAAGCTTAGAACATGGCGAACCCTAGAAGAGTAGTGATCGAGAACCATAGATTGTCACCTTTAATCAATCTACTGAAGAAGCCTCAAGCGTTTCCTCTGCTTCTCTCTTTCTTCCTCTTCCTCACATGGATCACTCTCAGATTACAGCATTCCTCTCACGTCTCTTCGTCCTCTTCTTCACATCCGAAGTCGACGCTAAAGAGTCATCCCGATTTGAAAATTGTCGACGACGACGATAAGGTTAATCTGGTCCGGTTTGGTTTGGCGTCGCTTTCTCCTGTTCGGAAAGACGACCGTGGATGGTTGCTTGATCCCATTATTCTAGCTCGTGATTCTCAGCTCAAAGGTTCGTCTGATCAAATCCCGAATCCGTTCTCTTTCAAATGTTATTCTGGAAGTTGATAAACAGAAAATTCATATAGTGTTCTGTAAATGATATCTATGGCTTTGCTCATTCTGTGAATTAGTCTTAGGATTGAGCTGGCTAGCCTTGAAGATGATTCTTTTGTAATCCCAAGTTTGATATTTTTTCTTCATGTCCACAGGTGGAGCCGCCTCGTGTGTTTCCATTCATGTTGGTGAAATCCGGCCAGGTGGATTGAGGGGAAACCACCGACACCATACCTGTAATGAGACATTTGTCATTTGGGGAGCTAAGACAAGATTCAGGGTAAGTCTCATGGTCCATCTCATTGATAGAGCTTAATGGAGGAATTATTGCTTTTGTTTAACACCTCCGCTAGGAATATCTGTTTTGTTTATCGAACTGGTAAATGCTTTATTGAATGGTAAAGTGATAACTCTTGGTAAAGAAGGTAAAAAGAGAGATTAGAATTTGCCTAATGCCATGCCAACTCAACTAAACGTCTGTTAACATGTTAGTTGGTCTTGATGTGTGTAAGTATTGGGATTGACAGATGCAGGGAGCAGGTCAGTATTTGGTTGCTTTGAGGATTGAGAATGTTTAGGGTCTCCAGAACAAACCTTAAATTGCAGTTTCTTTCTGCTTCTTTGTTTCTCCACTGTATCCCTTTTATTTCGAGAAATGAAGGAGATAATCACTTCTAATTCTTACAAAGGTGTTCTTCACTATAGAATCTTATCATTAGTCAATTGCTTGCTGTTCTGAACACTAGACTACTTATCACCCTCTAAGATTGAAAAAGTGCATTAGTGATGTGACAAATGGTATTATCTTTACTTATTCTAATCCTTTTCCAGTGATGATTGTGCATTGGTTTTCCCTTTCTCTACTGCTCTCGTGTCTTATTGAACTAAGCTCATCAATCTGACTTTGTTTATGGATATATATGTATATGGATGCCTGCAGTTAGAGAACCACAAGGTCGAAAAAGGTTATGCCGAAGTGGTAATTGGAGAGGATGAAGTAGCTGTAGCGGTTAGTCCCAGTGGCACGGCTCATGCTCTAATAAATGTTGATCCTGTGCGTTCTACTTTCTTCATTGGTTGCCAAGACAATATACAGAACAACAGCTCAACTAGCGACTACAAAATATGGAAAGATCTATAAACCAAAGTGGGGTTAGTTTAGTTTCCTCTTCTTCATTCAGATTTTTATTGGCCTTTGTTTCTTTCGAGATTATTTGTATAGAATAGGCTTTTTTTTTCTTTTTCTTTTTCTTGTCAAGTCATATTGTTACCGAGATAGTATCAACCTGAAACTTCCAATGTTTATTATCAATGAGAATCAATTTGTGTGTATAGTTTGTCGTTTCTTCACAGTTGAATTTGCAATGCAAGTATTTCTGGAACATTCTTATTGCAAATTTGCTAAATTAGCACAGCACCAAAGTTTTATAATTTTATTGATATGTTGAAATATATCCATGTAAAAAGTTAACAATTGTATGTGACAGGAAGTGTAAGTCTTTATACTTAAAACGAAAATTGTTCATTTGAGGTATTCCAGGTTGTGAAAAGATACAGTACAATTCTATACGAAACTACCGATCTTCAAACGTGTTAATTGATTTATGGTCTCAAAACAGTGTACCATTAATGATGTAATTAATTACTCAAGTCGAACAAAAATATCTAGTTCCTATATAATGGATTAAAGAAGGTTTTAAAAAGTTTTCTCTGTCCAGCATGCACAAGGTCATGGACTCATGAATCTTAAAGAACACTCATAATCATGTCTTTTTTTTTTTTCTTTCTCATAGAGCGTTGTGCTAATGCCTACTCGTTAATGGAACGTTTTATACATTATTATATTTTTACCAAACTATAAAAGTATAAGTTTATGTAGAGTTGAGAGATATATAATTAACTTTAAAAACCACGGACTCGACTTCAAAATGAGAAGCAAAACATAAAAGACATCATAATGTCTAACAAAAAAAGACACTATTATGCATATCGCAAGTGTGTCAATGCATTGGAGATTGCCATGTGCCAATGGACCAACCTTAAAAGTAAAAAAAAAAAACAAAAAAAACGTAAAACAAAAGTAAAAAGAAAAGAAATATAAATAAAGCGATAACTGAAATTAAATCACAAAAAGGGTATTAATATTATAATTTTACCGTTGGAATGAATTAAAAATATATTGTCTAAATAGAAATTTAAGGTTTTAGATAGTGAGAAAAAAGGAAAGAAAGAGGTGAGAAAACCAAAAAAACACAGAGAGAGAGAGAGGAATATGAGGAAGAGTAAACGAGAGAACTTGCTTTCTCCTTCGTCTTCATGGCGGGAAACCCATAATCCTCCCCGGAGAAACTCAAACTCCTCCGCCGTATCCTCCGGCTGCCTCCCCGGATTCTTCAACCTTTTCCTCTCCACCTTCAACTTCTCCTCCAACCGCCGCAAATCCATCACCTTGGGATCTAAAAAGCGAGAACAGAGAACCGTCGTTTACGCTTCTCCTCCTCAAGATTCATCAAACGAAGACGGCGGAGGAATAGTCGTCGAGCCACCGCTTCCGCGCAACGAAGCAGAGGGAGATGCGGCGAGGGTGAGCCTGGTCGGAGCACTAGAGAAATGCGATCGGGATTTAGAGGAGCTTCGGAGAACCATCGACGTCATCAAAACCACTTACATTCTTCACAAGAAACTTGAAGTTTCTCCGCCGACAACAACACGTGACACTCTTAAGTTCTCCGGCACCGGTACGTTTCTCCGTCTTGTACATTAAATCTCTTAAGTCATAACATATCGACAACACTAATACACACATGTCGGAATCACCTTTTCTGATTATTTTTTTCCATATTTATAAACTTGTCTCATTTTAGGGTCAATAACTAGAATTAATATAAATCAAGCAAGAACAATTCATATTAAATCTTGAAGAGAATTGATCTGGTTGGTAATTTAGAAAGTAATAGTGAATTAATTACTGTTAAAAAAAACACAAAGTAGTAAAATTAGGAGAACAGTGTGTCAACAACTAAAGAGTGAAGAAGATAGTATGGGAATAGAGCTAAATAGTTGTCTCTTTTGTGGTGTTGAAATAATGACTATGTCTAACTAGTGGAAGACAGTCTCATCAAAAATGTATAAAATGTGTTGATAAAGACATGTCATTGCTCTTAAAAAATTTTCATGCATGCATAAACAGTGTGTGTTTCATTTGATGTCACATCTAATTGATCTAACATATTGGTTCACTACATAATATGTTGTCATTGAGGATAATGTTACAAAATTAAAATGAGCCAGGATAGTATGGACCCCAAATTAAGTTGATGAGGTTTAGTCTAATCTAATAAAATAAAATTAAAAGTGCAGAAGAGAGTGGGAGGAGAGAAAGAAGGCATGTTAGACAAATGATGAAGGGAAGGGACAGCTTTTAAGGGGGCTTTATCCCTTTAGTCATGAATGAAGCCCACTTTAACTTTTCTCATCATTTGGACCCCCACCCATTCTTCTCAGACCCACCACCAACTTGTTTTGATACCAAATCAAGAATATATATACAATTATTAAATTATTGTTGCTTAGAATAATAATACACAAAATAGAAAGAAAGATATTTTACTAAAACCCTCAATTCTCTTTAGGTAAAAACTCAACTACTTGAAACTGTTTTCTTTTTAACTACTAGTATGTAAATTTTGTTATATACTTGGATTTAGATGATATTGGCAATTTTAAAAGTTTTCTTTGTGTGACAACTATAATAATAATAATATATAGCCTTGTCTAATCAATTATTTGATTTTGTTAAACAAAAATAAAATCAAGCAGTGGCAGGAGATGTCGTCGTGGGGGCGCACACGAAGAAGACACAGCACGAACCAGAGGCAGACACGATGTTGTCGATGGTGAACCACCACGAATATTGCTGCAAAGACAACCAAGCCTACAAAGTCAACAACATTAATCTAATCACTAGACCCGACCATTACGCCATACATGACGTCATTTCCAAGAGAGCAACGTCAACGACGACGACAGAGTCACGTGACACTTTCCCCCTTGTGGTGCGGAGGGTGAGACGGAGCTTGATGGAGAGCGTTAACCAGGTCTGCGATGACGTGGCGTCTGGTCAACGTAGAGAGGTCGCTAAGATAGGTTTGGCTCTTCATGATCACATCTGCCGTGACCTGATAGCAGAGACCGTTCGAGAGCTCTCATCTTTCAACGACGACGTGGACGAGTTTTATAAGTCAGCAATGGATTCTCCTCTTAGTAACTGCGGAGGAGGTAAAGGCCGGCACATCCGACGTGGCAGCAGCAACTCTCTACCGTTTGACGCGTGTAGAAGAAGATTAGTGTTTTGATGTTGTGATTGATTGATTGATGTCTTAGGTTCTTCTACGTTACGGTCTTACGGATATGCATGTCACAGTCAACGACAGTTTTCACCTATGACACATGTTTTAGTTTGTTTTAATCATTTTTTTTTTTGAATTAAGAGAGGGTGCAGATGAATAGATGATTGTGTAACTAGGGTTTTTAATGATACACTATTTAATTTTGCTTGCAATAAATAAAAAAAACTTTCGTATAAGAGAATTTATTCATGAATACGATACACTGATTTCCTTATAAAATTTACGATCGATTTACCAAATTTGAAAGGAAATATTCATAAAGATACAATTACTATTGTTTTTGCCAAATTACCAAAACAAATTTAATATAGTTTTTGCCAAATCATGTAAACATAGATGACTAAATTATATAACTAGATTTTGTTTTCTATATGGACCAAATATTTTTCTTACCATATTCATCATTCGAATCATTAGAATTTATTGATAAATTGATTAGATGAATCAAACCTATGATTATATCTTAAAGAGTGTTTAAATAAACTTTGAGTCTAGTATTAACTTTGCCGGTGAAAATGTACAATATAAAAGAAAACTATAATCGTTTGTTTTTAATTGGTGACGAGGACGTATTAAAAATGAATTTAACCCAATAAGAAACAGCCATTTGGGGGAATAGAGATCGAGAGGACCCAGAGTGAATGCTGACGTGACAGTCAAGTCAACGCTCCGCGTACAGACCGCGTGATCCGTTAATTGTCCACTCTGGCGGGTTTTAATAATAAAAAAAACAAAATCGAAGGCAATGAAACCGTAATTACAGCCATAGACTGAGGTTATAGTAGAGATTTCCAAATCCGGTACGCATAAAAAGAAAAGTCCGGGTCGGAGCAAAAAGGTCGTTAATTAGCTTCGTACCCGATAAATACGGTTCCTCTCTTTTTTTTCCTCAGCTCAGACAGAACACGCTTTTTTCTCTATTTTTCTCCATTTCGAGATAAAACAAAGGAATCGAATCTACCAAAAGAGAAGAACCAAAAAAAAAGCAATGGCGGATCAACTCACCGATGATCAGATCTCTGAGTTTAAGGAAGCTTTCAGCTTATTCGACAAGGATGGTGATGGTACGTTGTTTTTTCTTTTCTCGCTTCTTCAAATGTTGTGTGATTGTATAGGATTTTTCTACTATTGGATCTTTGTGTTTGTAAGCTTTGTTCTTCTGATTTGATTTATGTTCGTCTCGTTGATTAAGTTGATCTGTGTCCATGTAAGATCATCACGGATCTGTGTAATTCGTGATCTCTAGACTCGTCCTTGTTTCTGGATTTGATTAGCTCGTGTTGGTGAATTAAAATTTTGATGATGAGGAACTTGGCGATTTGCAGATTGTGTTCACACGATTTGGTCCTTAGAGAGATTTCCGACTCTTTCTAATTTTGTTTATATTAAACAGCAGTTTTAGATTTGTTCTGTGCTCATGAAAATAAACGGAGATCTCTAGTGTCTACAGACACATGCTTGTGCTCTGCTTTGAGTAGTTTAATGATGAACAGTACTTGTCTAACTTGTAGGTTGCATTACCACCAAGGAGCTGGGTACTGTGATGCGTTCTCTTGGACAAAACCCAACCGAAGCAGAGCTTCAAGACATGATCAATGAAGTGGACGCTGATGGTAACGGTACCATTGACTTCCCAGAGTTCTTGAACCTCATGGCCCGTAAGATGAAGGACACTGACTCCGAGGAAGAGCTCAAGGAAGCATTCCGGGTCTTTGACAAGGACCAGAACGGTTTCATCTCAGCTGCTGAGCTTCGTCATGTGATGACAAACCTTGGCGAGAAGCTTACTGATGAAGAGGTTGATGAGATGATCAAGGAAGCTGATGTTGATGGTGATGGTCAGATTAACTATGAAGAGTTTGTCAAGGTCATGATGGCTAAGTGATGTGGTTTTTGAACCAACCAAAACATGGTTTACATCTCTCTCTCTCTTACATATAATTCTTATGTTATGTTATAAAACAAGATTCTATTCATGGGACTCAATGTCTGTTTTTCTGGTTGTTTAAGACGCGAATGTTATATCCCTTTTATGCTCTATTTTGCGTCTCAACATGTCTCAAGTCTTGTTTCTATTTTTGTTGTCTTTGCTCTTTGTAAGTTGTAACTTCGTTTAGTTCGTGGTTTTCAATTAATGGTCTCTAGTAAAGCATTGTATCATGGTTTTGTGAAATGCAACTTCGATCCTAATAATCAATGATGTTTATAAGTTAAATTAATAGAATCATAAACAATGATCAATGGCTCGTTAAGCTTCAAATGATCAGCATACGAAAATCCCAATTAAAACCTAAACACAAGAGAATGTGAAAGAAGCTCAGTAAAAATTGCCTTATACAGTGAACTTTTTAGCAAAAGCATCAGATCACAAGATGTCCTGAGTTCTTCCAGATATTAGCAGCAATCAGTTTAACAAGTATTATATGATTCTTATATATTCATTAACCACAAGTTCACATGACTTGGAACCTCTTGGCATAGAAGCTAAGTCCTTTTCAATCTGTTTTTTTTCCACGTTATATGGATAATATGTCTCATAGAAGATTTTCGCCGTTTTCAAACATAGAGCATGATTCAGGAGATAACTCATCAGTTTTTTATCTCCGTATATCCCTTTGTACCCTCTCCACTCTAGAGCTTCAAGACTGGACAACAAACACGTAGGAACCAAACTCGGCGGTTCCCAGCGATCCAGAGAAGTTCCTACGTTAACCTGCGATCACGAGTATAAAAGGTAATGACAATGCTATTGGTAATTAAAGAAAACTCGAGGTTGAAAACTAAACACACTATATATAAATTAAGTTGGTAAAGGAAAAATGGTAGAAACTGGATTTACATTTTTAAGCTTGAGAACCACCAAGTTAATGCAACATGGAAACAAATCTTCAAGTATTTTCCCAGATTTCTCCCTACATATGCTCAGTTCCAGATGTACGATTCGACTGAAGATACTTGCATCCTAGAATACAAGAAATTCATTTATGTGATGGTTTTAACAAAGATGTAACAAGAAACGACGTGGAATGGAAAAGCTTACCTCTACTTTCCATGGATCTCCTAGTCTTCTAATCCTCACAGTACGGAGGAAGCGGGAATACAACAACTCTTGAATGCTCAAGTACTTGAAACAAGGTGCTATAATCGCTAGCTTTGGAATGTAATCTTTTAGTAAACCACACAAGTCTGTGGAATCAAGGGTTCTTGTTATAATGGACAAACTTTGTAAGCAAGGCATAGCAATATCCAAATTCAGCATAACATCACTGGTTTTTGTCTCCAATGTTAGGTCAGAAAGAACAGGGCAATTGGATAAAAGCCGACAAAAGGAACCATTGTTAAAATCCACCATGCGGGCAACATGCAGAGTTTTGAGGAATGGGAGAGATACCGCGGAAGAAGCAATGCTTATCACATCCTTCAAACCCTCGAGTTTCAAGGCCACAAGTGTTTTACACCAGGAAACGTCATACTCAGCAAAGAAAAAACCAGATTTCCTTATGACCATTAGGTCGGTAAGACAATTGCAAGTGGATAAAAGCATTTGAAGGGAATCAATGTCGAATAAACTCGACTGATCAATGTGCAGAGTTTTTAGGGATGGGAGACAGACCCTTGTAAGAGGACCTTTCACATCGATCACTATGCCTTGGAGTTTCAAGACAACAAGTCTTGCACATGTAAACAATTCAGGAGGTAACAGGGTATGAACGATACAAGCATCTATCTCGAGCTCACGGAGGTGGGAATGATGATGATCAAGCGCAGTTCTGATCCAAGGTCCAATATCTTTGTTCCACCGGACTACACTTAATTTGACATGAAGGCTTTCTAGAACATGAGATTGATGTGAAGACAGTGACTTGTCCATAAATCGTTCAAATCTAGTGTGATCCCCAACATCAAATTTGAGTATAGGCACCCTTGTCCAGAGAGATTTCCATCTTTTTGACAAAAGACTCGTCACCACAACATGTTTTGTTGAAATGAATGACAATATCTTCAAGATCAAATCGTCGGGCAGCTCGTTGATATTTGAACAACCATTCTTCGTCATTGTCTCTGTTTTAGGTAAAGAAAGAAACCATTAGACTATGTTAAAACCCTAACTACACATATTTTTGAGTGCTTCTCAAGTTTATCGAATAACGAATATAAATCGTCATATCAAATATAAAATCCAAGTAATTCTTACGACTTACGAGATTTCGTGCGATGTAGATTCTAAATATATGAACAAAGAGGATGCACACAAGAACTCCTTCAGATCGAGAGAGCACCAAAAAATAATTTTGGGATGAGATCTCTCAGTCACGAGGTGTTTAATATATTATCTAGAGGTGTTTAATATGTTATGTAACATACAAAACAGCATTCATAATTAGAGTCAAACGTTTGCAATCAAATTTGTTTCTTAATAAGCAAATATTATATTAATTTCAGTTTTATATGTAAATGTTTGGAAAAAACAGTCATATGTTATTTTTAGTGTTTTAATACTAATAGACTATTTTTTATAATTATATTTTTTTACAATTTTTGTTCTAATTCAAAAGTAATAAATTATTCTTGCAAATACATACAATTGTTTGTATCTCCTTCCTCTCTCTCTCATTTCATTTTTTTGGTATAAATACGTAAATATAATCACTTCCTTTTAGGACAGAACCCACCGAAAGCTCTAAACCCAACAAAACAAAAAGAAGGCGGCGGAGAAGCAAACAAGAGAGCAACAGACAGAGAAGAAAGAAGAAAAAATGCAGCCAGAGATTTCAGATCATATCTTCTATTCGTTCCTCACCGGAGGATTATGTGCGTCGACGACTTCGACTTCAACCACCAGAACGTCGTCGTTTTATCCTTTTGCCATCGAAGACACGATTTCTCAAGACAAAGCTCTTGCTTCTCTGAGGAACCACAAAGAAGCTGAACGAAGGAGAAGAGAAAGAATCAATTCTCATCTCAACACGCTCCGCAGTTTACTCTCTTGTAACTCCAAGGTACACAAATACTTCTTCATATCACTTTTATCACTCTCTACTACTACTTTACTAGTCTATATACTCATAATGGAACTTCGATAGTGACTTGAATCAGAACAATATTAAGAATTGAAGATTAAACGTGTTTAAATATTAATTAATTGGTTTAAGATATTAAGTTAACTTCTTCCATACTCGTATCTTCTTTACTCGTCTATACATATATAATCTAGGAGATCAAAGATTCTTTAAAATTTATTATTTACAGTTTTTCAATGTTGGAATTTTGTGTTTTAATTTATTTAAACCTATCCAAATATTCCTCGGTTAATTTACAGTGTACTGTCAAATTAATGTCTAAATTTTTTTTTTGTTATTGGTAAGAAAGGTGGAATATTGGAAGTATATATGTCAGTTACAGAAATTTAAGATGAAACATTTTAAAACTAACATCAGTCCAACGTAACGTTTTCGAATAATAATAAAAAAGCTGCAAGAACTGAGGAATATCTAGAAAATTGAGGAAAAAAAAAAAAAGCTTACAAGTCCTTTTTTTCCTCTGAAGCTGATAATCACTTTGTCGGGAAAGTTATGGATCTTTTATTTTCTTCATTTTGAAACAAATTGAACATCAAGACAAAATCCTCGAATCAAGACAAATTCTTTTTTTTTTTTTCCTTAATCAAGACAAATTCTAATGATCAAATCTTTGTTTCTCTTTCCTTGTTTCATAAGTATTTTTTTTTAATTATATATTTTTTATATACAGACAGACAAAGCCACGCTATTAGCTAAAGTGGTTCAACGAGTCAAAGAACTAAAACAACAAACCCTAGGGATCGCCGACGAAACATTGCCGTCGGAGACAGACGAGATTAGTGTTATCAACTCTGAAGAGTACTGTTCCGATAACGACGACGGTCGGATCATCTTCAAGGTATCTTTTTCCTGCGAGGATAGGCCAGATCTCTTGCAAGATCTCATGGAGACACTCGACTCTCTTCAGATGGAGACTCTCTTTGCTGATATGACAACAGTCGGTGGTCGATCAAGAAACGTACTCGTCGTGGCCGCCGACAAAGAGCGTCACGGCGTCGACTCGGTGCAGTTTCTACAGAACGCACTCAAGTCTTTGCTTGAACGGTCAAGCAAGTCGGTAATGATGGGACATGGTGGTGGTGGTGGTGGTGGTGGTGGGGGAGAAAGGTTAAAACGACGTCGTGAGCTGGATCACATCATCATGGTGTGATTTTGATGAGACTCGAACATTATATTCTTGTAGGATTATTTTTTTTTCCTTTTTATCATACAATATGATTAACGTGGTTATAATTACAACAAACCTTTTGTGTGTGTTTTTTTCCCTCAACAAAAAAAAAAACACTTTATATTGGTTTAGTTATAAGTTTGTGTAATGAGTGGAAACATAAGTTATAAGTGGGTTGGTTGGTGTGTTATTTTTCTATAATTTTCAAGAAAAAATACAGAGAACAACAAAAAACTGTAAAATAAAGTTTTTATTGTAAGTTAAATTCCAAGTTTTAGGAGTACGTTAAGTAGTTTGATTGATGATGACGAAGGGTTATTAGATTGTGGGAATATATGTACAGGCAGAAGAATCTAACAAAGAGATGTGATTGGGGTAAAGTACTTGCAGAGAACACAAGATTTTGAAAAACATAACTTATTTTTTATATGTATAAAAATATAAAGATAGAACTTTAGAAGCATGAAATATAATGGTGTATAAAAAGTGAAGGTACGACCTAAGACAGTGAAGAGAAGCTGTTTGTAGAATCTTAACGAAAGAATAATAATAGTGTATATAAATGGAGAAGAAGTGTTTTGAGTTTCAAAGCAAAGCTCATGTCATCTTGTCCCCTAAAGATATCTTCCTTTTGTTCGTACTTCGTATCTTTCTGAATATTTTTGTACCTTTCGTCTTCTTTCTTTTTTTTTAATCCTTCACTGAGGAAAAAATGTAACCAATAACTTTGACTGTGTATTGTCTATATATGTTTGACCACATTTTATTCCTTTGTATAAATAGATCATATTCTATAGTATTTTTTTTTTTTTGTCAAACTATAGTATCATATTCTATAGTATTCTATAGTATAATATTTATCATTTTATTTTGTTTCAAATTTATCTATAGTATTGATGATATACTCTCTAGCTAGGTTTCTAGGGAGCACATGGAAAAAGTAAAGCATAGATTCACAACAAAGTAGGTGTACAAAGAAACTAGGGAATCGTTTTGTCAAATGTGAAAACGTATTACTAAATGATGTAAACTCTGGGGACTTTTAGTGGAAGTTTTAAGATAAAACACTAAACGCAGATTTGCATCAACGCTGGAACTATATTAAGTGAATGATTGATTGTTACAAATACATAGAAACACACAAATGTCATGTGAAACTTAATACACGGGCTAATCATCCAACCTTCTCAAAACTATCCTAATCCCCACGTCAACAAACAACGACCTGCAGGCCTATACCAAAAAATAAGATATGCTCATATACTCGCTAGCATCATATGCTACCAAACTTTGCTAACTAGTTTTGTGTTTGTAGTCTATCATTAACAATTCATTTTTGCCATTTTGAAAAATAATATTTCTTAGGATAAGTTTATAACTAATTACCAAAGTTATCGTTAGTAACAAAGAAAGAATGTGGAGGAAGAGGATAGAGAGCGAGGGGGGCAAAGGGTTTAGGCGTGAAAGAAAAAGAGAAAACTGACAAGAAAAAAGAGAAGAAGGAATGGTGTCATGGATGGGCCTTTCTTCGATCGATGAGACAAAAAAGCATTTCTATGTATTTTTTTCTCACATATACTACTAATTACTAGTATATATTTTTTTGTGGCTCCATTTCTTAATAAAAAACATGTACATCTTTGTGATGTGTGGGTGCATTTCTTAACTTATATGCCTGCTTAATTTATTCATCCCGATACCACAGTGCGTTCACTTTTCCCATGCTGACATCGGATGATTTTTTTTATGTATATATTATTCTTTTTTTATATAGTATATATTTTGCAATTGTTATACTGTTTTTAACGATTTTTTTAGCACCAGTAGAAAATACTATAAGCAACTAAAAACTTTTTATGTTCTGGCCAAAAATATAGCTATTATTCTTGAGCTTTAGTGCATGAATGTACTATATTTTGAAGAGTTTATTATAAAGATGGGCATTATTTGAGTTGTAACTTCGGATTTAGGCATCCTGACAATAATGCCATAAATAATAGTCAATAACAAACTGTTCATGACCATATTAACCTTCCTCAAGTGGCTGGTTAAGTAGATGACGCTAGACCCAGAAACTTTTCTACAAGGCTAATCCATCGTAAAGCACAGAGAGTTGAATAACGCTCTACTTTGGAGAGGGTGGAACGGTTGAGCACATAAGAGTTATGTGACAAACAAGAAAAACCAAACTAATTAGTGAAAATGAAACTAGCAGAGGTTGATACGTAGTGGACAAGTTAAGACCAAAAATGGACTAAATATCATTAACAATGTCTTCAAACAAAGAGTGCTAAACCCTAAGTTTATGGTATACTAAACCCAAATAGTACCTATAACATTCTGCTTTCTATTACGTACCAATGTGGTTTGAAATTAGATAACTATCTACATAACTATTTGTAAAGATACTTAACTAAACCCTAGGTTTAGGGGATACTAAACCCAAACATATAACAATAAATATCCTCCTTTTTACGGCTAAAATAAGGCAATGCGTCAACCTTGAGAGTGTCTAAACTTGAAAACTGGTAC